CAGAACCATCAATTCATGCACACACTATTAGCTTGTGTAACAACAGTGCCTTGTTATCCTGATTATTGGAGTCCTTCTCCTTCCTCCTCACCCCTTGTCTCCTATTATTTGTTATGCTCATTTGTTGTGCCTTGTCTTTAATCAGAGTACAAGCTCCTTGGAGCAGGGCAAATCTCAACAAAGGTATTTAAACAGAGTTGAGCACAAAGGAGCCTGATCCCAATTGGTGCTGTAGTAATATAAATAGCGATGTGAATGGGGGCATAGCTGTGAGATTCCCTCAGAACAAAAACATGCAAGAGGAAATCTGTTCCCAGCCCCAGGGCATCTTGGTGGGTATTGAGCCCCCTCTGGGCTGCTCCCCAGGCCTCTCTCCTGGCAGCATGACTTCTAACAGACATCCCCCACATTTGCCTCCTTTGGGATAGAAGACGGAGAAAAGGATTTCAGTTGATTTGTAAATACAGCAATAATTTCAGTGTATGAGTCTACCAGTAGTTCAGGAGTGGAACTGCTGCCCAGACTCAGCCCCTGCTGTCCACACCTTTGGAGCTACCATCAATTAGAGTGGCTTTTGGAACTGGGAAGAAAGCAAAACAGTGGTTGGAATATCACCCCAATTTTGGAAGAATCAAATGCTTTCCAAATCTCCAATCTGATCAGGTACGTGGGTGGGTGCAGAAGGAAGGTGACTGACTGGACCCGTAGCATATTCAGGAATCCAACTACAGCAGAACCCCATTTATGCGATCGAATTGGGATCTGGGCCAGATCTGATAGTCAAATTTGGGTAAGATGGAGAATGGGAAAGTCCAAGGCTGCAGTGCCATCTAGTGGCCACAGGAGAGATCACCCACTTCTGTACCTGTGTGCGCTGGTTGTTCGGTTAATACAGAGAGCCACGTAACAGAGGGTCGGATAAAAGGGAGTCTACTGTAATGGACTCTGGACAATTAAAAGAAACTATACAAAGTTAGTCATAGTATTATCAAATGATGGTGAGATATTCTGTAGGTAAGATTAGGATGACACTTCAGAATTTAGAAGTAAAAAGCAAACGACAAACTTACTGTAGATAGATATGTGTTAAATTGACTCAATGCTTTTATAATGCTATTACACTCAACTGCGTTATTTGGTTCTGTTAATTTACATGATAATTGAAACCTGCTTTGTGCTTAAGAGGACCTCGCCTTATGTTTGTGCTAGCCATACTAAGTATATGCTTCCCCCAACAAATTCCCTCCAAACCATCAGTGTTCAGCTTGTTGCTTTTTTGTTTCTCTTCTTCAGAAGCAGCAGTGCAAAGTATAAACTCTTCATGCCTTTCATGGCTAGGGCCATGAAATATTCACCCTTCACTCGGTCACTTGCAACTAAAAGAAACATGAATTCAAGAAGAAGAAATGTTCTTTTTATCATTTTAAGTAAAAAGAAAGAAACTCATATTGCACGAAAGCTGAGTGAAAGAGCTACAGAACTAAAAGTAGGGCATATTGAGAATGGAGAGCAGTTCAAGATCTCCATTTTCTACACCAAGATTAACCCCCCTTCCCTCCCCAAGCCTTTCCTCTTACATGGATATTTGGTGATATCAACACAAGGGGACAATGTGGTACAGATGAAATTACTATAAGGTGGGTACACAGCTTGTTGAAAGACCATACTCAGTGTAGTTACCAATGGTTCACTGTCAAACTGTGATGGTGTACCCAGTGGGGTCTCTCAGAGGTCATTTCTGGGTCTGGCAATATTTTCATCAATGACTTGGAAAGTGGAGTGGAGAGTATGCTGATAAAATTTGTGTATGACACCTGGCTGGGAGGAATTTCAAGCACTATGGAGGATGACATTAGAATTAAAAATGACCTTGACAAATTAGAGAACTGAGCTGAAATCAAGAAGATGAAATTGGAAAGTGCAAATTACTTCACTTAAGAAGAAAATAAAATCATATCCCCAACTGCAAAATGGGGAATAACTGGTTATGCAGTAGAACTGTTGAAAAGGATCTGGGGGGTATAGTGGATCACAGATTGAATATGAGTCAACAATGTGATACAGTTCCAAAAAGGGCTAATATTCCGGAGCATATTAGCAGGAGTGTTAACTGTCCCACTCTGCTCTGCAGAAGTCAGGCCTCAGGTGTACTGTGTCCAGTTCTGGGAGCCAAACTTTAAGAAAGATGTGGCGATACTACAGAAAGTAACAAAAATGATACAGGTTTAGAAAACTTGACCTATGAGGAAAGGGTAAAAAAATGGGGCATGTTTAGTCCTGAGAAAAGAAGACTGAGGGAAGACCTGACAATAGTCTTCAAATATGCTAAGGGCTGTTATAGAGAGGATGGTGATCATTAGTTCTCCATGTCCACTGAGGGCAGGACAAGAAGTAATGGGCTCAATCTGTAGCAAGGGAGATTTAGGTTAGATATCAAGGTAGCTATGCTCTAGAATAGGCTTCCAAGGGAGGATGTGGAATCCCCGTCATTGGAGGTTTTTAAGAACAGGTTGGACAAACATCTGTCAGGGAAGGGATATATTTGGTCTTACCTCAGCGCAGAGGCTGGACTGGATAATCTCTCACTGTGCTTTCCAGCCCTACATTTCTATGATCTCTACCATCGCTTAGATCCATGCAAGCTAACTTGTCTAAAAAGGACTTCCTGGATGTTAACAAGAGCAAATTTCAGGTCAAGATCTTCTGTCGCTACCTGTATAACAGGAATATTTAATTTAAAACCAACAAGTTCAATACTTAGCTATACATAGAAATCTTTCTCTCTTGCTGTGTATTATATATAAAAGAGAGAGATTAGAAGTGGAAAAATGAAATTTCTCTCTTCTTCAGAGTCACCACACTGAATTTTTCAAAAAGATGTGCATCTGTAAGATGCTACAATCTTGCAAATGACTTCCCTTAAAATATAAATAAATTAATTAATTAAATAAAAAAGTGACTGTGCCTTCTCTAACAAACATAGAGCAAACTGTGTGTATCTAAATTAAAAATCCTACACAAAAATACCCTCCTGCACATACTTCTCTTTCTGGGGAAAGGGCAAGAAAACAAACATGGCAGATGTTTGTCACATTGCTTATTGCTCTATTTTACTACATGAACCTAATTAAAATAAAATAGAAAACATGTTCTATTTCAGACTATATATTCAGCAATATATTATGTGTATGAAAAGTATTAAACAATCAAGCCAAGTTTCTCCTTTTAAATATATCATCTCTTTTCTAAATGCAGTTAAATTTTATACTTGTACCAAAGAATAACTCACCAAGTTTTCAGGTGTGAAGAAATCACTAATTTTGCACTAGTATTTTATTCCATATATAGAAATAATGCTTCTATGTCAACAGTTATGACACTTTTATATGGATGATGAAATAACTGCCAGTGCCAAAACAAACTTATTTCATCTGTTCAAATAACTGTGGTTGTTTCCTTCTCCTTTAACAACGTGCAACATATGTAAAACCTACTTCTATAAAGCTATGCTCAGAAAAAGAAAAATACACTTGGCTTCTACACTTTTTTATTGACTTAAGTCCCATGTTAGCAGAAGATAAAAAAGTAATCAAGCAATCCAGATAAAGGTTTATCACATTGTATTTAAACAGATGTAAATTGAGAGACAGCCAGATTCATAAAACCAGAGCAGCTGTATTTTTTTTTAAAGGAAAAAAGTCCTCACATAGCTAATGTTCACAAATGCATTATTTGTGGTGGATATTTTCTTTTGAGATGCCATTTTACTTCATATTTTAATGATTTTAAAAAAAAATAAACTCTAAGAATTCTCTCATTATTACAAAGTGACTTGCTTGAAAAAATATTACGTTATAAGCATATTTGATTATAAATTGACACTAAATATTTAAACAGTTGAATTTTTGGGAAGTAAAGAATGTAAATAGAGTATTTTAAATACATAAGTGTACCTTACAGCTTTCCCCCCTTACATATATTCATAAAAACATGGTTTATAAGAAACTACAAAAAGTATTTTTCATAAACTATGTCTCTTCAAAGAGAAAAATGTGAGCAAAAGAAGGAAGGTTATTTCCTGTCTTAATATATTCAGGATTATTATTTCAATGTCATACATATTTGCACATCAGTCACATTATCACTGTACTAGTTTATCCTTAACTTTTCTTAAAGTGAATTTGCTTTTGAAAGGTGCTGGTTTGACAACTGCATAGGAATCTGAAGCTCTCTCTATCTCTAGAACCAGTGAGGCACAGCCAGTACACCCCATACCTATTCTGGGGGTGTCTCACACTCCATGCTCATCGAAGGGGTTGATCCTGCAAGGTGTTTGTAGTCAGTGGGTGTTGAGGTCACTCAACATACCACAAGAGTGCCAAACACTGTTCAGGACTGAGCCCTACACACCTGGCCCATCAGTTCCTACAGAAGTCAGTGGCAGGCTTTCCACTGACTTCAATGAGAGTTGGATTTGGGGCCCAATCCTATGGAGAATATCAACAGGGACATCAATGAGTACCAGTTGTTTTGTGCTGTGGATATCTGGCCACCAGAAACTGAATTCAATCCAACCTCATTTCACACTGGTTAACAAACAGTCATCATGTATTAACTATCGGTCACTAGCAACCTAAGTTGAATTGCTGGTGACTTCCATACCCTGAGTGTCCACTATGTCAAGATAAAACAAAGCCCGCTCTGAGCATGCTCTTTTTTCCACAGATATAATTTAGACAAAAACTATTGTGAAAAAATGATTTGAGTGGAAAATTAATTCAATGTTCTGGTCCCTGGTGGATCACTTATTATTTTGTCTCAAATGTTGTATTCCTCCAGCGGAGGTTTACAGGGGTTCCAAAGTGACAAGTATCAGAGTCCAATCCTTCACCTGCACCAAACTAATTTGAATAATAAAACACTGATTATGAAATTCTTCATATATGATAAAGTGTTACACCATCATTTTAAAAATGTTTCAATCGTTTGTTTGGAAGTACTTGGTTTGGCTTTCTTTGGTGTTGACTGTGGTGTCATTAGTCCAGGCCTAAAATAAAAAAAGAACACATTAGGAACAAACAAAGCAAAACACCCACCAAAAAGCCAAAAACAAACAAATATAAAACCACCTAAAGTAACTTTTACAACACTGAATAGTTTGCTAGCTTGACTTTCAAACACAAGTACATGGACGCTTGAGGAGATCTATCGTACCTTTTTGTTCCTGTTGTGGGATTCATATATTGATGTCCTCTGCCCATGCTTCCTAAAGAACAATTTGTGAACATCAAAATAAATTATTTAAACACACAATGAGCACAGCAGGGAGCTGCATGACTAGCAGAACTTTTAGGAGGAAAGTTCTAGATGAAGAATTTCCTTCCTATTATTTTCTGAAGCAGTTGGATTGAATCTTTTACCAAGCAGATAACATTTGATGATTTCCTTAGTACTGTCAATTATATTCAAAATAAGTAAAAACAAAAAAGCCCTTTAGCCCAATAACAAATTAAGGAATAAATTTGAATGTGATCACAGATTTCTGTAACAGAATGTAATGCTGTTGATTTCCAAGATGGCCTACTGAAATTCATGTTTGTTTTACACTGTTGGTCTTTCTGGGAATAAAACTATTAAAAAATCTTCACTAATATACAGCATTTCTTCTATACCACAACTTGCCTGCATAGCTAGGGAGATCTACACCAGTATTTTAGGAAATCATCTTTGTAAAAACAGTCACATATAGTATAATGCTGCTATTATAGCTTTATAAATATGCTTGGCAACTTTCTCATGTTGGATCAGAAAGGACGCACATTTGAACAGTTTCCTAAATACTAGTCGTAGGTCTCTAATCTTGTCCTATTTATTGAGCCAATTCCAAAGTTAACTCTCCATAATCAAAAAGACAAAGTAAAAGCAAGCCAATTAGTGGCAAACTAATACACCAAAAAGAAAAGGAGTACTTGTGGCATCTTAGAGACTAACCAATTTATTTGAGCATAAGCTTTCGTGAGCTACAGCTAGCTCACTTCATCGGATGCTTTCACTTCACGAAAGCTTATGATCAAATAAATTGGTTTCAGAGTAACAGCCGTGTTAGTCTGTATTCACAAAAAGAAAAGGAGTACTTGTGGCACCTTAGAGACTAACCAATTTATTTGAGCATAAGCTTTCGTGAGCTACAGCTCACTTCAGCGGATGCATACTAGTGAGCTGTAGCTCACGAAAGCTTATGCTCAAATAAATTGGTTAGTCTCTAAGGTGCCACAAGTACTCCTTTTCAAATAAATTGGTTAGTCTCTAAGGTGCCACAAGTACTCCTTTTCTTTTTGCAAATACAGACTAACACAGCTGTTACTCTGAAACCCGTAATACACCAAACTGATTCATGTCATACAAAGGAATTTGGTATTTTTCAAATGGAAATAGCCAACCCCTTTACACAGGTCTTCTTAAAATTCAATAGCTGTACCAGACTCAGAACCCTAAAATGTACAACACATTCCTTAAAAATCCTATTGTATATTGGATGGGGCAATTTTAAAAGGTGACATTCTTAACTTAAATACTCACCAACTGACTTTGAATTTTCCATAATTTGACTCTTAACTGGATAAACTATTTGCTCTGTCAACTTCTGGATAATGCCTTTATTTAAGCAAACATCCACATGTCTGTTGAACAATGAAAGGTCAGTTGTTTTTTGTTCCACGTTACAAACTGGACAAACCAGAACATTGTCTCTGATGGCTCCAGAGGAGTAGGAAGGCTGAGTTTCTTGTGTACATTCAGACTTTTCAAAGTATTCTGCATTTTCCAATGAAATGATTTTGGAAGAAAAATTCTGTTCTAGGTACATGTTGCTAGCAGTTTCACTAAGCAGACTATGCTCTCTTTCCTTGCTAGTATTAGCTACTACTTTATGGAATGCTTCTGTGTTACTGCTAGTAGAGTTGTCAGCTACTTTTGTTAACTGTACTGTATCCACTGATTTGTTCATTTTATTTTTTTGACACATTTCAAATATTTTCTTTTTATTGTCAGGAGAAAAATGATATGCATTTTCCCATGAATTCTCACTCGTTGATATTTCTGCATTATCTTTTACCAGTGTCCCATTGAGGCACTTGTCAATATGTCTGTTAAGTGCTTCTAAATTGCTGTCTCTTTGCTCCTTAAAGCAAACAGGGCAAGTGAGGCTATGACACTCATTCAAATTCTCTGAGCCTATGGCATCATTTGTTTCTTCCATAGTATTTACTGATGATTTTATATCATGTGAGTTCTGCTTGTTTGCAGGTTTGTTTATAAGAAGCTCCTGGTTGCTTTGTTGCCTTGCAGCTCGCTTTTTATCAAAAAAACTCTCTCTGTGAGATGTTTCTGAAGCTTTTGTAAAATGTTCATGGCTGGATTTCCCTGGCTGAAGCAGAGAAGCATTTGCTTGTTTTCCTGGCTTTAAGAAATTGATAATGCTCCTCTGTTGGTATTTCTTTTCTTCTTCATTTAGAAACCCTGATACTCGTATACCTGAACATGACAAACAAGACAAATAAAAATGTAATTGTAACTGATAAATAAAACTAAAACTTAATTAATACTAATGGGCATCAAAAAGTTTTGCAAAACAAAGCCACTCAATATAAATAGGTATCTTATAACAGAAACTGTATTATGTACATGTGTTAGCAGCTGATCACAAAGCAATTACAATTTTACTACCAGTCCTGAAGATTTGCCAGCTATTTCAAGTTTACTAGGAATTTCAGTGCCATTTAAAACACCACATTGCAACATCATGTGATACCATAAACCTCACGTAGTCATGTGGAAAGTTAAATTCTAAAGTTGTTTATTTCTGGATGCCAGTAATTAGTAATCATGTTTATTGCAGCGCCTAAGGGCCAACCGAGAATGAGGCCTGATTGTGCTAGGGACAATACAAACAGTAGCAGACAGTCCCTGCCTCCAAGAGCTTACAATCTAAATAGACAAGACAGACACAGGGAAGAGGCTTGACACACAAGCAGAGTCATCAATGTGATGACAGAAGATGTCACGTTAGTTCCACAGCTTTTGGTGGGGTTGAGGGAATGGATTTAGTTAGGAGGGGGATCAGCTAAATGGGAGGGGAAGGAGGTTGAGGGGTGCAGGGTAGAACTGAGTAAGATGGGTAGGTGTGGAGTGAAGCTGAGGTGAAGAGACTGCAACTGAGAGGATGCGCTGGAGCAAAGAGCAGACCAATTAGCAAAGGGCAGAGCAAGTCCAGTCAAAACTGTAGAAAGTTCTCTGAATGTTCAGAGGTCCCTGCTTCGGCTGCTTCTGCTCCTAGAGGCTGGAGTCTCTTGCTGGCTCCTCTCTACAATTCTTCCCAAAGACCATGCGGTATGGGAGGAGAGAAGGGGTGGCACTGCATGGATCCCATTGGTCCCAGAATGAGTGTGGAGTGTCCCCTTCAAAAATTTGGGTTTAGCTGGGGAGCAGCCTGGGCCCAATTGGGCCCCATTTTACCCTGTTTTATCTGCTTCTGTTCCTACTGGCTGGAGTCTCTGGCATGAAATTTTCCATTAAAATATTTATTCTTTAAACTTTTTCTTAAAACTGGGATATTACTTTTTTTTTTTTTAAAGGAATAGTGGACTATTTACATTTAGAATAAACAAATACTATTTATTTCAGCAAGAAATCTTAACTTCAGACAAAATATAGCACCACCAAGTTATAAACACCATAATTTAGGCCATTCCTCTGTCAAAAATATAGAGCCATATACTCAACTCTTCCCTGATGCAGTGCAAAGGAGACTTAAAAACTTTAAGGAGGCAAAGCTGAGGATTCCCATGTCACAGGATGGCGCCTCAATATTGGCATAAGGGTGTTCCCGTGGCGGCAGTGGTTGGGGAGGAGGCAATCTCAGCTGGTGGAGCAACTCCCTGGGACCCACTATCCACCAGGACAAGTTAGAGCAACCCTGAAACTGCTCTAACATGCATCAGGGGCTTTGCCCCCAGCAGCTCTCAAGATTACTGGGGGGAGGGTAAAACCAACTATGCCGCCCGTTCCCAGGTGTGTAGCATGCTTGATCTGAGGGACTTGGGGATCTTGCCCTAAAAAGGAAACAAAAAAGTTATAAATATTTTACCCATAAGTCTCAGCCGCAAAGGGTGAGGGGCAACACCATCAATTTCTGTCCTTAGCATATCTTTAGCAACAGCAAATATTTCTTCTTCAGTAGAAACAGCAGAGAGCACTGTGGAAGCTCTTGTTTTTACTTCAAAATTCACATTCTTCAGTTTCAAGGTAACGGTTTTACCCTAGAAAACAAATAAAACACTTAACATACATGGTACTGAAGAATTTTTTAAAGTGAAGTCTTTTTTCACCTAGCTGAACTCTACTTCAGTGTCTAAACAATGGCTTTAAAGCAGGGGGCTAGATTCACTGCTGCATCCAACTTGTGCTGGACACAGCATGGATGGTGTGCTATAATAGAGCCTGTTATCATAAGACTCTCTGCCTAGCTATAGCCTGCTGCCAGAGCGGAGTAGCTGGGGGCTGCTCTAACCTGCACCAGCTGGCTATCTCTATCTGTCAGATGCATACTGCTCATGTACTCTGGCCACTTCCCCAGTCTCTACCCACCTCCCATGTATCTCCTGGACTGGGAGATGAAGGGCAGATGCCAGCTATGTCAAGTCTACATCTACTAGGGTCTCTTGTGTGCTTCGGGGATGCCCAGTTAAGGATCTCCAACGTCTCTGCTCGCTTTATATCACTTGAGTGGTGCAAAGGGAGCAGAACAAGGCAGAGAATCTGCCCTAATATTTGTACAGGCAAGTGTGCACATGCAATTCAATAAGTGCACCGTAAATCCCAATCACTTGAAAATGTGTTTGTAAAGTGATAAGCTAAAAGTAGTTACCATATCTCTCTTCCAACTCCAAGAGTTTGGGTAACTCTTTTAAAAGCACTTAAAGGCTTAGGAGCACTGCAAACAATGGGACGTAGGCCAAGTCATTTCAGAGCTTTAGACAAGTTTACCCTTTGTTTGTCAATACAGAAGCTTTTTCTCCATGCTATCATTCCATATCCTTGTGTCGCAACAACCTTCCATGGCTGAAGAGGACTCATTGGTACCTTTAGGAATCTCTGAATGCTACTCTTTGCTTTACCAATAAAAATCCCTGTTGAATAATTGAAGTGTTCCTCCCAGAAAATAAGTAAAAATTCAGTGTATACAGTATATTGTGCTCAATAAAGAATCTGTATATTTACTAATGATAAGACAAGGAGGAATACATCCTTTCAATGCTTTACAATTTACATGCTTGGCCACAGTAAGGCTCCAGGCAATCCATTTTTTATGCAGCTCTACTACTCCTTCTTTTAATTAACATAGCTTTTAGAACAACATGTACGATATGCTAAATAACTTGGTGAATTGGTTTCACTTCTTAAAGGATCTCACAAGATAGCCCCCTGAAGCTAAATGCAATTTTGTTCTAAATTATTCTAATCATCAATGAACAAAATAACAGAATCCCTTGAAGCCAGAAGGTAGGGCGTGATAATGCAGAAAGCATTACTGCTAACAGAGGGCACTGCGGACCTGGGACCTGATAGTGCAAAGAGGTTGATTTTTTTTTAAATAAGAAAAGAATGATTTAAATACCTTAAGTCCTTCTTTCTGCAGATCCTGAGCGAGATCTCTGCAAAGTTCTTGACACAAGCGGTATTGCTCTTCTACTGTGTTAATTTCACTGAATGTCCTAAATGAACACAAAGATTAGTCATTTTTTCCCCAACATGCATTTTGAAATGATGCATCCTTAAGATTTAAAATTTTTCATGAACAGTTTAACAAGAAAGTTTTGTGGGTTTGAGGGTTTTTTTTTTTTAAAGTCAGGATGTATATTTATATTAAACAGAAACATATATGTACATTTAACAACTGCACAAAATTGGTTTGCAAATCCCACCAAACAAAGAAATGGGGTGTTGTAGTCACACTTCTCATGCAGTGTTTGAAAAGACATGAGATTTAGGTTGATAAATGCTTAAATATATACAAGACAGAATGCTAATACCAACTGAATTCATGGAGCCAGCCAAAACATTTGTATATAAGCTTCTCCGCATAGTGTTGTGTAACATTGGAAGGAAGAGAGGATTAGGAAATTAATCCAAGAGCCAAGTATCAAAGGTAAAGACTGTAACACGGGTGCTAAGAAACAGATGTTATGGTAATTATGTCTAGTACCAGAGAAGGAAAAACTAGCTTTCTGCCAAAAATTTAATTAATTCTGTCTTTGCTGTACCTTTCCAGGGTATACTTACTTACCTTTTCAAGTGTGTATCTGGGCTCTCAGTGATAATGTGAAAGGAAGGCTGGTCTCGTGATTATAGAGGGAATTGGTAGTGACACTCATGGTTGTCTAACGCTTTCGATTGTAAAAGATTCTTTCCATTGAGAAGCTCTTACACCTCCATTTTTTGCAATAGGCTTTTGCTATTTGGCAGTGAGAAAGTCCTTGTGCTAGAGATGTGTCTTTTTCTTGTCCAATTTGTGTTCATGTTTGGCTGATATATAAATTGTTAAAATTGCCATTTCCCTGTTGTAACTTACATTCCTCAAAATATGATGGCATGCTGCCAAAATAATAACTGAACATGAACATTCTAAAGTTGGGCCTACAATGCTCCTAAAGCAGCAGCACCACACTCTGCACTGGGAACATCAAGTTGCTGCTAGAGCTGTTGAAGTGTGAGCGGGATGGACAGGGAGCCCAATCAAGCACATACTCCCAGTAGCTCATCCCTCCCCCAACTGAGAGCATCAGGGAGCAGGAGCTAAACTCCTAAATCTCAGAGAAAAAGAGCGGGCCATGTGAGTTGAACTACCTTGCCTATCCCACTCTGCCCCAGAGAGCACATGGCCACATTAGCCCATTTCTCACTCTTTCCACACAGAAAGAAGTCCTTCCACACCTCCTGAGTATGGGCCAGGCTCTCCACAACTACCCAGATGTAGGGTGACCAGATGTCCCGTTTTTATAGGGACAGTCCCGTTTTTTGGGACTTTTTCTTATATAGGTGTAAGCAGTGTCAGGGTGAACTCCACCCTGACATCTGGTGGTGAGGTGTGGCAAGTTGTGGAAAAGAACTTCAGGGGCCGATCTCATTTGCATAGGCACACCCACCCCGCCTAGAATGAGGCCATAGCTGCCCAAATGGTCACTTTGGCTGCTGTGGGATCCCCAGTGTCTCTGTTATTGGGGCAGAAAGAATAAATTGTTATTACCCTGACTATGGGAACTGTGCTTGGAACTGTACTTGGCCTTTTGTTATGATGGAGGGACTCACCATCAACTAAGTAGCACTCGCTAGGCAAGGGTCATGGGTTCCAAAACTCTGTGAATTGAGAGAGGTTGCGGACAAGTATTAATACTTGGTGGCATGGGCCCCTTGGTGAGGGCCTTACATGCTAGTTGCACTTCCTCCTCTCTCCACTGTAGAATATCAGAGCTAATTTTGATTTCATTAGGAGTCTAGTTACATGCTGCTGAGCTTACTTTGGGCTAATGGTACACCAGCACTGAGGCTCCTCTACTACAAGCTGAATTCACCAAAGAGCTGAACTGACTAAGAGCTGAAATCACTGAGCGTTGTGTTAAGTAGTGGGGGAACCTGAAGATATACTGTGGAGAAGTTTGCGGGATGGCTGGAGTGCCTTGTGAGCAGGCTGGTGGAGCAGTTCATGGGACGGCAGGAGCTGCTGGTGGGACACGGAACGGAGCAGTTCGTGGGACGGTGGGAGCTGCTTGTGGGCTGTGGAGCGGAGCTGAGCAAAGCAGTTTGTGGGGCGGCTGGTGGAACGAAGCGAAGGCCTAGGGAGCTGTGGGGCGGTCCGCTTCAGATCATGTAAGGTGCCTTTTACCCCCACCCCCATCTCCACCCAGGTTGGGAGGTAAAGCTCTGCAGATAAACTTTTGAACTCGGGCTGCCCTGACCATGGACAGAGACTTTTGGGTCATTGGACTTTTGGGACTTTGGGTGATTTGGGGTTGCTGGACTCAAGAACCAAAGGGAAAGGGCATGCCCCAATTTGCTTGGGGTGGGTTTTTTTGCTCATGGGTTGTGTTATGAATCCTGTTGGTGGTGTTTCCCCAACATAATGCCACATTGTTTCTCTCTGTTATTAAAAGGCTTTTTGCTACACTCAGACTAGGTGCTTGCGAGAGGGGAAGTATTGCCTCTGGGTGGCGCCCAGTGGGGGTGGTATGTATTTGTCCCAGGTCACTGGGTGGGGGCTCGAGCCGGTTTGCATTGTGTTATTGGAATGGATCCCCTAGATATTGAACCCGGCCCTTGTTGCTGCCAACTCTGACGGGCAGAAGGGTTACATAGGCACCTATTACCCCCCACACCCTGTCCCGTTTTTTCACAGTTGCTATCTGGTCACCCTATTCAGATCCAGCATATGGCTGCCAGTTGCCCATCATCCCTGTGGGATAACCATCTTCTCCTTCTCATAGCTAACATAATCCTATACCTCAAACTGTGTAGAATTTTCAGGATTCAAACATGGCTGCTGATGCATAACAGAGTGTTTGTTACAGTTGTACAAAATAGATTTTGTTATTTTCCTTTAAAAAAAAACAAGGAGGACGCACACAAAAAAACCCCAACCTACGTTTAAAGAACTTTACATTATAAAATTAAGCACATGACAGTTAGGAAATGCTACATTTACAGTTGCTTGTGCAACCTTAAGCTTTCCACCTGGTGTGTATGTATTGTGATACAGTCTTTAATTACATGATCGCAAACTATTTTTTCTGCAGGACCCGCCTCATTCAGTGCACAGGCTGGACGCACAAGGGGTGAAAGGTTTCTAGGACAGGCAAAGGAATTGATGGAGAAAAGTAGACAGGAAATCTTGGTGTGGATAACAGGGGAAGAGGAGAGACTGGAAGAAGGGAAAGATGAGGTCATGTTGGATTTTGTCAGTTTTCTCTTTGAAAAAATCAGTGAGATCCTGAGCAGAAGGTGAATTGGGGGCAGGAAAGGTGTCAAAGGTGGTGAACACATGACTGAGATTTCAGATATGGGATTATATCAGGGTGGAAAAGTCAAATTGATTTGCTTGGAGACTAGCAGAATTTAAGGAGAAGAGAACAAAAGTCACTGGTCTGGGACTCAGGAGATACCTGGGGAAGCTGCACCATTGACAGTCACGGGTGGTATCTATAACAGCATATCTACACTGGTACACAATACCCTAGTGAAGCCCAGGCCTAAGACACTTTTAAAATTTTTGTCACTATACACAAATACTTTGTGAACTGCTATTGGAGTTCACCAAACCTATAGCTTACATCTGGAGAAGTTACATCAGCATCAAGAGAAAAAACAAGTTGCTGTTGATAGTATACATTTTATGGGGCAAAAGATAAATACTCCTTTAGAGTATAGTCAGAACAGTTTAGCAGAAAAGGAAATAATTTAGATGCTCCACTGGAGCACAAGACCAATCCATATATATCTGCATATCTATAAATACACAGAGCTGCTTACACTGATGTTTACTTACTTCTTAGGTAATGTCAGAAGCCCCACACTTTCACCCTAGATGATGGCCTAAGAAAAGAAACCTGATGCTTTCTTCTCATTTAAAGCAATCAGGTGGAATGGAGGGTGGAAAACTGGTAGGAAAAAAGTTATGCAGGACCCTGAAGGCAAGGACAGGAAGTTTGACTCTTATGTAGTAAAGTTACTAAACATAAACTTAGCTCTCCTAATACACATAAAATATCAACTAACATTATAGGATTGTACTATCTGATGTCTTAGCCTCTACAGGTATATGTATTGCTAGGTAAGGTCTTGGTATAAGTTAAGTAATAAATAATAAGCCTACAAGGCCTAATAGCTGAGCTAAACAAGACATAAGGTCCAAAAGCCTTAGCATAAACAGCTAACCAGGAGTAACCCTAGCTGGGGAGGCATAGCTCAGTGGTTTCAGCATTGACCTGCTTAACACAGGGTTATGAGTTCAATCCTTGAGGGGGCCATTTAGGGATCTACAGCAAAAAATTGAGGATTGGTCCTGCTTTGCACAGGGGGTTGGACTAGATGACCTCCTGAGGTCCCTTCCAACCCTGATATTCTATGAACATAGAGGCTTCCTTTAATAAGAAGTATTTTATTTCTTTCCCCAGATGTATAATTAATGAATTATAACAAATGGAAATAATATCTCTAAAAACTAGAGAGACAAGGTGGGTGAGGTAATGTCTTTTATTAGACCAAATGCTGTTGATGAAAGAGACAAGCTTTCGACCTTACACTGACCTCGAGGGGGGAGGGATAGCTCAGTGGTTTGAGCATTGGCCTGCTAAACCCTGGGTTATGAGTTCAATCCTTGAGGGGGCCATTTAGGGATCTGGGGCAAAAATTGGGGACTGGTCCTGCTTTGAGCAGGGGGTTAGACTAGATGACCTCCTGAGGTCCCTTCCAACTCTGATATTCTATGATCATAAGATATCACAAGAAAGAATGCTGTAATGACTGAACTGCTGACCGATAACCACAAGATGCTAGTTTATACCAGCTTGGGATATTTTAAATTAGGAACATCAGCATATGTCTGACCACAGGACTGCCATGGTAACTAATTGACATATATGCTAATAAGCTTGAGGTAAACAGACTAGTAACATATGGAAAAAGGGCACCCCCCAACATTAGTAGGGTGAGGAAATACAAATAAGAAAAAGGAGAGAAATCCCTACTGAATATGCATTAGGCATAGTGGAGTCAGTGTAACACATTATTAAATTGTATCTCAGTCGGTGTGCCTTGGGAGATGTAACTTTTGGGAGATGTCAGGCTGATGACTACTGGTAATGATGGTGACCAGTGAGAATGACAACTAACATTTTGGGTCCTTTTTGTCCTTTAGTGGTTGCTCAGACACACATTCTGTATTATCTTTATCTACCTTGCTGGGTTGGAGTGTTTGTGACTTTACTAATTGTGTTAATAAAACTATTTCAAATTCAAAAAGCTTTTCCTAAGTGTGCGTGTTGCAACTGTGCACACTGGGGTTTTCAGCTGAACAGTAATTCTAATGCTACTGGGCCTGATCTTGGGACAAGAATCTACCAAGCCTCAGAATGTTTATGGGGAATTAGTAAGTAATCGATATAAATAATACACAATCAGTAGATCAGGCAACAAGTCAAATAAATGTGATGACTCAACTACATTATTTTACAATGATTAGTTTTAGTTAAGTTAGTGATTAATGTCATCGTTTTTTAGATACTAACATTATCATACATACCGTTCAGTGCTCATACTTTTTCTTTCTCCATACCTTTAAAAAAGAAAAAATGTGTTCATAAACTTAAGTCATTTTCACAGAGAATTTTTAATTTTTTTAATAACCCCTTAGAATCGTAGACTTTAAGGTCAGAAGGGACCATTATGATCATCTAGTCTGACCTCCTGTACAACGCAGGCCATGGAATCTCACCCACCAACTCCTGTAACAAACCCCTAACTTATGTCTGAGCTATTGAAGTCCTCAAATCGTGGTTTAAAGACTTCAAGGTGCAGAGAATCCTCCAGCAAGTGACCCGTGCCCCACGCTGCAGAGGAAGGTGAAAAACCCCCAGGGCCTGCCAATCTGCCCTGGGGGAAAATTCCTTCCCGACCCCAAATATGGTGATCAGCTAAACCCTGAGCATGTGGGCAAGACTCACCAACCAGACACCCAGGAAAGAATTCTCTGTAGTAACTGAGATCCCACCCCATCTAACATCCCATCACAGGCCATTGGGCATATCTTCCGCTACTAGTCGAAGATCAATTAATTGCCAAAATTAAGCTATCCCATCATATCATCTCCTCCATAAACTTTATCAAGCTTTGTCTTGAAGTCAGATATGTCTTTTGCCCCCACTGCTTCATAGTTAACCAAGAAGATTTCAGTGTATAATTGTAATCTTTTCTATGGGATTTGAATGTTAACGTTTCTGAGAACCTTGCATAAATCAGCATTGCAAGGAAATGGAAAACTGGGAATTTTTCTTCCTCTTAAAATTGTGTATATTACAGATGAAGAAAGAAACTGTAGATCAGTAATGGCTGTTAATACAATTAACCATTTGCACTATGAGTCAGCCATACCCATTAGTGACCAGAAGGGCTTTGGGGCTTTAAAAACAAATTAATAGATTACATACAATTCTTCCACTTTCTTGACTCACTATCTCTCGCAAAGTGCTTCTACTAAAATCATGAATATACCAATCTTATTTTTTTTTTAAAAAAAAGAGGAAAATCCTCTTTCCAGTTGAATCAGACTTTCATCCTTTAAAAAAGTGACTTGTAAAGGATTTCTTTTAAGTGGGGCTTGTATGCCTTTTGTCACTTTTTATGAGATATAGTATAAACCAATGTGTCTTCAGGCTTTTTTTTTTTTTTTAATTAATTTTGGCTTATTTTTGCCTGGATCAGGAATATCAAGTTTGTTCTCCAAAAAAATTAGATACAATCATCTGAGAGCTCTCTGGGATATTTACCGTATACTCAAACATCTTTGGAAGGAGCAAGGATTGAAACTTTAACAAAGGCTTGCTTTCTCCAAAATGTTCATCACTGAAGTTAAAATATGTATTAACAAAACCAAAGAAAAAACAAAGCTTTAAAACAGTTTGACAAAAAATCTCTTGCCTTTCTGATGACTTAATGTTTTTGTTCTTCGTTCTTATAAATGTCCCTATTGCTTTAACTTTTCACAGTCATTATGAAGTCCTCAAGACCAGACAGGACTTTGATTTCTAATGTAAATAAAATCAAGCAGATTATTTTTGTAATTAAAAACAAAAACTTTCAGGCTTTCTTTATCCATCATAAAGAAAAACTGGACAATCTATGTTATCCTTCACAAGTCACCTTTAAAGATATAAATTTACTATGTACTTTGGAAAAAGTACAAAGATTTGTGGTGTTTTTTATTGATCTAAGCTTTTGTGGTGTGAAGACTTTTTTATTTTTATTTTTTTAAATAAATGATAGCTTACATTTATACTGTGCTTTTCAAACCTAAAAAGAGCCCCCAAACTGTTTTTCAAAATGTGTGCTGTTAAACAGCTGTATTTCTTTTGACTACTTATGAGATTATTTTTCAGTCTTAAAGGAAGGATTTCTCATTCTGTTAATACCAGAGAAGCAATGGTAAGAACAAGAGGTAATATTTTCAAAAGTGCTTAAGAGCTTTTGGAGCCTAAGTCCCAGTGACTTTCAGTGAGATTTAGTCTAAGTGCCAAAGCACTTTTGAAAATGGTTTTAGGCTCCAAATTCTCTTAGGGTACATCTACACTGCTTGGTTTTATTTACATTAGAAATTAAAACAAAAAAAACACGGCAATGAGTTTCAGAGCCCAGGTCAACTGATTCAGGCTCTTGGGGCTTGTACTACAAGCCAAAAATAGCAATGCAGATGTTCCTGCTTGGTCTGGAGCCTGGACTTTGAAACGCAGCGAGAGAACACGGTCTCAGAGTCTGGGCTCCAGCCCAAGAGGGAATGTCTACACTGCTATTTTTAGCTTTGTAGCATGAGCCCCATAAGCATGAATCAGTTGACTCAGAGTTTAAGACTTGCTGTCACAGGCTTACCCCCTCTCCCTCACCCCACACACACACTTTCAGTGCAGACATACCCAAAAGCAACAGCATGGCAGGATTAAAAAGAAAGGGTTTCAGAATCTTTAACTAGGGCTCTTGGTTACTAAACATGAGCAGAATGGCAAAATGTTCAGTGGCTTTAGAGTGATGGGAGGATGTGTATTTGCATTCAAGGCAGGCCTGTGGGAGGGTGATAGTTTTTGAGCAGATATTGGACCCTCTTTTTTCTCCATTAGGAGCCTATAAGGGCAGCATTTAGATACTATGATGATAGGAGCTTCAGAAATACTATGGATTAGATTAGATATGAAGAAAGACAGACAAACATTGGGTTCCACCCCAACAAATTCAGAGTTGATCATACTATCAATTTTAAAAAATTATATTTAAACACGGTAGAAGACATAGAAACTAGAGACAGATCCTCAACTGATGTAGTCAATTGAAGTCAATGGAGCTGTGACAATTTACACCAGCTGAAGATCTGACACTGTGTGTTTGTTTTAAGATCATATAGGAATAATTATGAATAGCGAAGGTGTATTAACTACATGGAAGAAATACTTGTGCACTTCTATGATGAAGCTAAATAATTATAATAAAATAAACCCTGTTTAGGTTAGTTATATGTATGACATATCTCGTAATCCATTTTAGTATTGATAAGGTTGTAGTAAGAGAAGGCCCTGAAACATAAACTCTTGTATCAGAGGCCCAGTCTGAGGCCTGAAGCCTGAACCAAAATACTTCCAGGCAGTGTTAAGCAAAGCTGGGCTGTGAGCCAGAGGCAGGTCCCACTCACAGAAGTTGGCAAGAAAAGGTTGTTAGAAGCACGTGCACACACACATAAGTGCTAGTGAGAGGAACGTGTGCCAAGATGGCATCCGAACACTCCACAGACATAACCAGGAACAGACAGGTGCATCTCAAAGATAGGGTCAAAAGGACAACAAGATGGATAGATTCATTTGAACTATGGTGAGTAATCTGTCCTGCAACTGTATAAAAGTAGGTCCGGGAGTGCACATCGTTGTCCAGCCTAGGGGGCAGTGGAGTGTCCCGCCACTGACTGAGCTGTGTCCACTGCCAGGGAGCACAAATTCGTAGTATGCCCTGTAGAGTCTATAGGGAACTATTACCATGCTTCGTATGACAATAAACCTGGCTTGGGTTCCTTTGTGCCTTATTAGAGTCTGTGGTTTTTGGGGGTTCTCTCAAGGTCTGCTGTGTTAGCTATCTGCGCAGAGCTGGGGCAGCACACAGAGGGAACACGCATGCAGCTGACTGTTATCATCATCGAACAAGAGCAGGCACCACACCGGTAGCTACCGACAACAAAGGTTATTCTAAAACAGTGGTTCTCAAGCAGGGGTCTGGGGCCCCCTGTGGGGCTGTGAGCAGGTTTGAGGGGGTCCACCAAGCAGGGCCAGCATTAGACTTGCTGGGGCCCAGGTCAGAAAGCTGAAGCCCCAGTGCATAGGGCTGAAGCCTGAGGCCTTGAGCCCCACCACCGGGGGATAAAGCTAAAGCCTGAGCAGCTTAGCTTCACAGGGGCCCCAGGCAATTGCCCTCCTTGCAACCCCCTAATGCCGATCCTGGCTTTCATATGCAGAAACTCAGTTCTTGTGCCACAGGTGGGCCGTGGAATTTTTATAGCATGTTGTAGGGGGCCTCAGAAAGAAAAAGGTTGAGAACCCTGTTCTCAACAACATGTGCTCACCGTACAGCTGTCTCAAACTAGGCACTATTCATTTTCTTGGTATGCATGCATGGCCAGAGCTTTGTTTGGCAGACCATTTAGATTTCATAAACCAGACAGGGATTTTGGTTTCTATAAGCTCTCTACCTATTCTGTGTACTCCAAAGAGCCATACATTAACAAATCCTACACTTTTTAAAAAGTGGTTGCTTTGTAAGTTAACATTTGTACAGCAATAAAGCAGGCGTTATGTGTAAGATATTACTAACAGTCACAATTTTTATATACGATACTATCCAAACTTACCTGACAGATATTTTTAATGTCAACCCCAGCAAATCTATCTTATAACACTCACAATGTGTAACATGTGTAACACACTTGGGGAAATATTTAACAAAACGTAAAGTACACGCAGCAAAGCATATACCAAGACATACTTTTCCAAATCCATTGAACCCAAACCAAGTGAGACATCCAAGAAATTATGCCAAGATGTTTCTGAAAAAAGGAGAGAAAGCAGTGTCCTCTGCTGGTAAAGTTCAGTGCAAGTCAGAATTCCAAGAGCTTTTAGCATTTTTTCTGTTACTTTTCCTATACCAGGCACCTGAAGAACAAGAATTAATGTGTCTCAATGAAATTGGAATTTTTGAAATCTTTGGATAAATGCTTAATGTTTAACATTCAGTATAATTCAACTCAAACACATTTTTAGAACTAGGTTGGCACTGAAGAAATGAAATTATCTTTAAGTAAATGATCTGTTTTAGAACACTAGCATTCATGTAAGGAGGACATCAGTGTATAGTAAATTTGATAATATTCTCACCTTTCTAATGGGTAAATCTTTGATGAAGTCCATTACAGATTGCCTATCAGGGGAGATTCTGTACTGTCCATTAGGTTTATTCTGATCACTGCACATTTTTGCCAAAGTCATATTTGGAGCAATTCCTTAAAAACAAACGAACAAAACAAAAGAAAGAAACACAACAAACATTTTAACCACAAGTCTCAATCTTCCATTTCAATGTTCCTAGATTTAAAGGTGTAAAATTAGTCATTCTATGCGTGGCAAAGACCAAACAAGAACAGAAAGGAGAAGACTGATGTAAAACAGAGATTCTCACCCATTCTGTAAAAGCGGCAGAGTCCTGTGGCACCTTATAGACTAAAAGCTTATGCTCCAATACGTCTGTTAGTCTATGAGGTGCCACACGACTCTTTGCCACTTTTACAGGTCCAGACTAACATGGCTACCCCTCTGATACTTCACCCATTTTGGTCACTACAGTCCTTCGGCACTTTTTGAAAGAATAGGCACATGAGAACTGCTATGTTTCATTTTAGTTATGAAATAGTGGCTAAAGCACTCATTGTATATAGTTTGTACATCAGGTTAGGTGTATAAAATACTTTGAGATATGCAGGATGAAAGGGACTATATATAAATGCAATATATATAATTAAGTGATGAGGGGTTACGTTCCTTTAAACGCAAAGTTTTCTGCAACTTGGTACATGATTTCACATTAGTATGACAGTAATTTACAGTAAAAGAGAAAGCTTGGTGTGGAAGAGAAGTTATGTTTGGTCTAAATATGAATGAGGTATCTCAATCAATTACAGTTCAGAGATCTGGCAAATAGTTATGACACATTTAACAACCTAAACATTTTAGTAGAGCTTCACCAAGGATGAGGAAAGATAGTCTAGTGGTTATGGCACTAGCTTACAACTTAGGAGACCTGAGCTCAGGTCCCCGATCCACCACCAACCTTCTGTGGTACTCTGGGCAAGTCATTTAGCTTCTCAGTGCCTCAGTTCTCCCATCTGTAAAAAAGGGATAATAATCTCCCCTACCTCACAGGGATGTTGTGAAAATAATTACACTAAAAACTGTGAGGTGTTCAAGTACTATGGTAATGGGTATCATGTAAGTATCTAGGATAGATGGAATATCTGTCTGTCCTTGAGAATTAAGGGTGATTTATCCTTTTTATTGATTTGTGTGTGTCTTTTTTGCTCTTTTTAGTAAATAAAGTGCCATAGATCCAGCTGGGCACTCCCTTCCAGCCATCCACTGGACTGCTGTGAGGGGAACCCAAGCCTCTGGCTCCCTCAATGTTTTAAGCTTCCAGAGTGTCAGCAGGCTGTAGCCCTGTTTCCTCCCTTGGTCCCTCTAGCACATTGCCTGGGCACTGAATCTCAGGCAGAGCTCCTCAGCCCACTTGCACCTTATATCCCAGGGCCAGCACTGATCCCCAAGGTACCCCAGTTATTTAACCATACTCACCCCCAAAACTACACCCCAAAGGTGTGAAGCTTCTGGTTACAGTTTAGAGCTCTCCAGAGCTTCCGGTAGTTGTAAAGCATATGACATATGCTCTCACACTTTGCATAGAGTCCATTATCTTAATGCTCTTTTACTTAGTCATGTAAAGCACAGATCCTACAGAACAACTAACATTTAACCACAATGCCACTTCCCAGCTCACAATTCCCTTGTGAGCCCTTAGGGACCATCTGTGTCCAGAAAAACAGGCAGGCGGGCCAGGCCTCATGCAAGCTGTTACATGCTGGGTGATTTCTTTCTGTCATAGAGTCCCTTCCCCAGCTTGTGTGATCTTACTTTCACCTGCCCCACACTTCCTTTTCCTGTCTCGTTCTTCCTCTGTTCCTTGTGTGGCTTGCTATTTAACTCCCCCTATCTCCAACTTCCTTTGTTCTGTCTTTTGAGTAACTTTCCATTGCTCCTACCTCCCCCGCCCACTGTCCAGAGAAATAAGATAACACTGGTTTTCTAAGGATGCAGCTGCTTTTTAGCATAACTTTGGAGTGGTTAAAGTACTGTTGTTAAACTTTAGTACTCCCTATTGTCCCTGCTACAGGATCTATCAGTAATGGTGGATCCACATACACAAAGGCACTCATGATACAGCAGTTCTTCATAATACAACTTCATAGTATCAACCAGAAATCATAAACTGTACTGACAGATTTCCCAGTCATCACACAAAATAACTGGGTTTTTACAGCTGAACCCTGTTGGTACTAAGAGGTGAATAGCAGGTGACTAATAGATTGATTTTTCTCTATAGCCTCGATGATTTAAAGACTGACTGCTGTTTACAGTGATTATAATGTATTCCTGGTGATGCTAGGAACCATTCTGTATATCACTGCTTACTAATATTGTCCAATTGGCTTTTTAGATTGTCAGATTATTAAACAGTAATCACCTTTCATTTTCATTCTTCAAATCCCTGGCATCCTTAAGAGGTCCACCCCCCTTTTCTAAACAGTGACTCATCAAGAGAAGGATGAAATTTTAGAGAAATGAAACTAAAAATTTTTTGACAGTCAAGCAGTATTGCTCCTGAGTTTTGCAGGGCCCTATCTGAAGTAACATGTTGGGTTTCATCCAGCTTTGTCTCATCCTATTACTCTCTCCTCTACCCATGTTTTCACATGACATTTCCCCTGCCTACTTCCTGCCTGCCTCTCCCCTATGCTCCAAGCTCCGCAGGCTCTGATAACTCCTTTACACAAATCAGCTAGTCATTAAGGGTTTGTCTACATGGGCAATTTACAGCGCTGCAACTTTCTCGCTCAGGGGTGTGAAAAAACACCCCCCCTGAGAGCAGCAAGTTTCAGCGCTGTAAAGTGCCAGTGTAGACAGTGCACCAGTGCTGTGAGCCGTGCTCCCAGAGCTGGTAACTATTCCCTTCGTGGAGGTAGTTTTTTTAGAGCACTGGGAGAGTTCAGCGCTTTAGTGTTGCCAGTGTAGACTAGCCCTAAGAGTCCTGAAGAGCAACTACCTGAACTAATGGACTGAATGCACTTTGGGGATTTAATCTCTGATGCATCCTAATAGGGGCAATTCAGACAGAATATTGTTGGGTATTGGTCCTGCTTTGAGCAGGGGGTTGGACTAGATGACCTCCTGAGGTCCCTTCCAACCCTGAGATTCTATGATTCTATGATATCATAGATCGAGTTCCAGTTGGAAGATCAGTTGGGCAAGTACGAGTTGCACAGATCTAAAACTTCCACTGCCTTGGAAAGTAAATATTAATCTGTCTAGTAAACAGTTTATTTTATTTTTAATATGTCAGTGTATTTCGTGCTCAAGAAAGTGATTAAAAACTAGCTCGAGCAAGGCACAGGATGGGCAAGCGTTGAACATGTTTCTTTCTCCACACAGCTTTGCTAATGTGCCTTTATCCTAACTAGTAGCAACTATAGCATTCCAATGTTAAATCTATCTTTGATCAAAACCTTACAAAATCAGCAGTGCAAGTTAAGATTTAAATGCAGCTGTCCAGAGATGTAAGACTACTGCCTGAGCCAACTGGGTCACTTTTCCACATTAGCGGAGGAGATATGATTGAAAAGGAAACCAGGAAGAAAAAGGATGATGTGACTGCTATCATTAACCAAAAGTATACAATGCCAGCAATAGCAACTAATTAAAGAAGAAAGATTTCTTCTGGTTAAATAAAGCACAATACTGGGTTCTATTCTTGACTCTGAAAGAGATTTCTTGTGTGATGTGGCCTTGAGCAAGTCACAATCTTGGTGCTTCAGTTTACACACCTGTAAATGGGGTATACTTCCTTACACCAAAGAGGTGGTGCAGGGCTAATTTTTTAATGCTTGTAATGCACTTTGAGATCACTGGGTGGAAGGCACTACAAACATGCAATTAGTATTGTTTATATACATGTGTGTACCTGCACTGGCAGTCAATCCAGTTTTTTGCTCAATCCGAAAGCGAATTTCCTTCACAACTTCTTCAGCTGAAGTTCCAAAGACCACTGAATTTAGCAACAGTTCTTGATCTCCCTGTTCTTCAGTGTACAGGTGGGAAGTAGCAACTGGCTGTTCCTCTGTTATAAAAGTATTATCTTCAAACAATATTGGTGAGGATGAGTGTGCATCTTCATTCAACTTTAGTTCATTGGGTGCAGTTACATCTTGTTTACCTACATTATGAAAGGGTACATAGATGTGTAACTCATCCTTCTTAATAAGCAACGTATATTCTGTGAATTGATTCCCCTGCACAGCTCCTGAAAAAAGCTGATTTAGCTATTTCACTTTTTTCTGTTTGCAAAGTTCAAGTAATTATGTAGCTGAAATCATTTCAATTACTGGTCCATTTTTTTAAAAAGAAAGGTCATAACCATCTCATTGTATATGCAATTTGAGCTTGGCCCAGGATTAGATTTGGCCAGGAAACTGAATTTCACTTTGGTGGGGAAAAAAATTGAAATTTTGGAAATGTTTTTGTCCCAAATTGAGATAAAAAGTTAAAACGTTACAATTTTTTTGTGGAAGTGAAATTCTGCAACATTTTGTTTCAGAAACACTAAAACATTCTCTCTGTGGGAATATTCTGGTGTTTCTGAAACAAGGGTGCCTAGAAGCTTTGGCTCTGCTGCAGCCTGCCATGTGGCCCCCCCAAGCAGGATACTGAGGATCCCAAGTTCCCTGGTTCCTCTGCAGCTCACCTGGCAGGCTGCAGCAGAATTCAGGCTCCCAACAGCCAGAGCTTCCCAGCCTCATGGGAAGCTCACCTGGTGAGCTACCAGGGAGCCCACATTCCTAGTGCCAGGCAGGCTGCAGGAGAGCCAGGAAGATTATGACCCCAGGTTCCCAAACTCCTTGCCATATGGGCTGTGAGGAACTTGAGTCTGGAATCCTTGGTAACCTGGACTGCTGAGGGGTTCCACTGAAAGATTGGTGAAAAGACACATATTCATGCAGAACATGTAGCTTTTGATGAATCTGCATTTTCTAATGGAAAAACAGTCCACTGAAAATTTCTGACCAGCTCTATCCAATATCTTCTAGGTGTATCCAACCAGGTAAAGTCCAGTGAGGGGCTCTGCAGTGCAGCTTGCAAAAGTACCAAAGCAGGGAAGGTAACAAACTGAAAAAAGATTATAGTACTTAGATAATATGGAAAATATTACCAAGTTTTGCACATATTTACAACAGCTAAGAGATCAGTTGAAAAGAAAACTGTAATGAGAAAAAAAATGGAAAGAACAAGTGGGAGTAGATGTGTTTGTGAGATCCTGTGTAAATTACACAACATCTTGGGGAATATTCAGGCCCACTGTGTCCTCAAGGGAGAGAGAGAAAAATACTTTTTATGCTGATTATGGCCCATGGCAGGAGCGAAATGGGAATTCCAGATGCACCTGGCCCCCGAGGTTTGGCGAACAGAATGTATATGTGGGGAGAGCAGGGGAGGAGAGGGTAAATAATCAGATGTCCTCCCCTCCCCACAATTAAAACACTTATTTCACTAAGGAAAAGGATTTCACTGTCAAGGTTCCAAAGATTTATTTTAATGTTATAAAAATATACCTTGAAAGTGTCTTTTTTAATATCAGATTTTTTTCCAAAATAGTTTGAAGGAATTTTTGCATTAAAAAGCAGATTTAAAATATATATATATATATGTTACTAATGCAGCATATTAAAACTGATTTTTAAATCTCTGATTATTAAAAATCCAATAAAAACAATTTAAAAAATGACTTAAAAATGCTGATTATTTACTTTTTTGGACTTCACTTGACTCGGAAATTAAAATAGATTAGTCAGGATCAGTTTCAGTTTTTCATGCAGTAGCAAAACGTTGCCATATCTAGGTTGCACACACTGAAAGGGAATATTTATATCCAAAACCAAAAATTGTTCACTGAAGTGTATAAAGTTCCTACAATATTTCTATTAATATAGCTTTAGATTTTGTAAATTATTTTCTTTTAAATACACAAAGTCTACCACAAATTTAGGGTCAAAACTACTTTAAGGTATCCATTAAAAGCATAACTTCAGTGTTAAAAAAAAAAAGGAAAGCTTTGCTTACAATCTTATTTTGAAATATCTAAACCATTTGCTCTAAGTTCTTCTCTGAATGAAAACCCTTTAACCAGACTTCTCTGCCAACCTCAACAAGAGGCTTGCCATGTAAATTTTGTCAGTCACTGAAAATTAGTAGATAAGATCCCATGGGACGCAAGCAAAAGAGAAAAAGAGTTCAGGAGAGTTGGCAGTTTTTAAAAAAGAGACATTATTAAGGCAAAAGAGATGCACAGGAAAGACAGGAAGTGAGGACACCCTGGCTTTCCCAGGAGATCTTCAATGACCTAAAACTTAAAAAAGAGTCATACAAGAAGTGGAAACTAGGTCACATTATACAGGATGAATATAAAAAAACAAACACAAGCATGTAGGGACAAAATTAGAAAGGCCAAGGCACAAAACAAGATTAAACTAGCTAGAGATATAAAGGATAACAAGAAGCATTTTACAAATACATTAGAAGCAAGAGGAAGACCAGGGACAGCGTAGGCCCATTACTGAATGAGGAGGGAAAACAACAACAGAAAATGCAGCAATGGCTGAACTGTTAAATGCCTTTTCAGTTTTCACCAAAAAAATCAGCAGTGATTGGATGACTACCACAGTGAACATCAGTGTAAATGGGGTAGGATCTGAGGCTAAAATCGACAAAGAACAAATTAAGAATTACTTAGATAAGTTCAATGTCTTCAAGTCGGCAGAGCCTGGTGAAATACACAGTAGATTATTTAAGAAACTGTCTGAAGAGATCTCTGAGACATAAGTAATTATCTTTGAGAACTCATGGAGGACGGGAGAGATAACAGAGGACTGGAAAATGGCAAATATAGTATGTATCTATAAAAAAGAGGAATAAAAACAACCCAGGGAATTATACATCAGTCAGCTTAACTTTGGTACCTGGAAAGATAATGGAGCAAATAATTGATCAATTTGTAAGCATCTGGAAGAAAATAAGGTAATAAATTACAGTCAACATGGATTTGTCAAAAACAAATCTTGTCAAACCAACCTAATAGCCTTCTTTGACAAGGTAACAAGCCTTGTGCATAGGGGTGGAGCAGTAAAAGTCATATATGTTGACCCTCTTAAGGCTTCTCATACCATCTCACATGACCTTTTGATAAAGAAACTAAAGAAATATAGCCTAGACAAACCTATTACAAGTTCATCTTATACTGACTGGAAAACCGTACTCAGGGAGTAGTTATTAGTGGTTCAGAATCAAGCTGGAAGGGCATAGAGTGGGCTCCTGCACTGGGTCCACCCTCCACAGCCCCTCCGCGGGGGGTGCATGTGGGACCCCAGGCTTCTGCGGGGAGGGGGAGGGGGAGGGAGGGGAGCTGGGCCAGAGGCCTCCAGGAGGGGAGGGGGCCTGGCTTGGTGGGCAGGGGGAACCACCTCCCAGCTCTCACTGGCAGTGCGACTGGGGCTGGGTTGCTGCACTCCCGCCGCCGGAGAGTGCAGGCCTGGCCCTGCTGCACTCTTCAGGGGAGTGGGGGTGCGGCTGGGGCAGGGGGCCTGGAGAAGAGGTGGAGCAGGGACGGGAGCAGCATACAGCTGCACAGGGCACCAGGAAATAAATTTCTTGGTGCCCTACATAGCTGCGTGCTTTGCACATGGGTAAGAACGGCCCTGATGACTGAGGTCAATAAAATCATGACTGATGTGGAGAAAGTAAATAAGGAAGTGTTATTTACTCCTTCTCATAACACAAGAACTCGGGGTCACCAAATTAAATTCATAGGCAGCAGGTTTAAAACAGACAAAAGGAAGTATTTTTTTCACACAATGCACAGACTATGGAACTCTTTGCCAGAGGATGTTGTGAAGGCCAAGACTATAATAGGGTTCAAAAAGGAACTAGATAAGTTCATGGAGGATAGGTCCATCAATGGCTATTAGCCAGTATGGGCAGGGATGGTGTCCCTAGCCTCTGTTCGCCAGAAGCTGGGAATGGGCAACGGGCGATGGATCACTTGAGATTGCCTGTTCTAGTCATTCCCTCTGGGGCACCTGGCATTGGCCACTGTCGGAAGATAGGTTTCAGAATAGCAGCCGTGTTAGTCTGTATCTGCAAAAAGAAAAGGAGGACTTGTGGCACCTTAGAGACTAACAAATTTATTTGAGCATAAGCTTTCGTGAGCTACAGCTGTAAAAAGTGAGCTGCAGCTCACAAAAGCTTATGCTCAGATAAATTTGTTAGTCTCTAAGGTGCCACAAGTCCTCCTTTTCTTTTTGTCGGAAGACAGGATACTGGGCTAGATGGACCTTTGGTCTGACCCATTGTGGCCTCTCTGACATTCTTATTGAATATCTTCATAAATGATTTGGATAATGGCATAGAGAGTACACTTATAAAGTTTGCAGATGATACCAAGCTGCGAGGGGTTGCAAACATGTGTGCCAGGTTTGTATAATTTTTGGTGGTGTCCAGAATGGGTCCAAGCAGAGCCGACCAGTCCATAGGACAGACTAGGGCAACCATTATGGGGGGCCTGGCACGGGCAGCAGCAAGCGACCCGGCCCAAGCCTGCCCCTGCTCCGCCCTCTCCCCACCCACATTCCACCCCTTCCCCCAAGTATCCGCCCCACCTCCTTCCAGCTTCCACCCCCTCCACCGAGCGACACTGGGAGCCAGCGGGGTGGAGCGGAGCAGGGCAGGCCGGGGCCGGGTCGCTTGCTGCTGCCCGTGCCAGGCCCCCCTGCTAGCTCCCCAGGCCACCCTGGACCCCGCGTCCCTCTGAAGCAAGGGGCCCCCAAAGCATGGTAAGCCCAAACATTGATGGAGCTGGGCACAGGTTCCTAAATATTGGTGGAGCGCGGGCACCACAGGTCCATATAACTTGCTGCCTATAGTTGCAAACACTTTGGAGGACAGGATTAAAATTCAAAATGATCTTGACAAACTGGAGAAATGGTCTGAAATAAATAAGATGAAATTCAATAAGGACAAATGCAAAGTACTACACTCAGGAAGGATTAATCAACTGCACAAACACAAACTGGGAAATGACTGCCTAAGAAGGAGTACTGTAGAAAAGGATCTGAGGGTAATAGTGGGTCACAAACTAAATATGAGACAAAAATATAATACTATTGCAAAAAAAGCAAACATCGTTCTGGGATGTATTAGCAGGAGTGTTGTAAGCAAGACACAAGAAGTAATTCTTTCACACTACTCAGCACTGATAAGGCCTCAGCTGGACTACTGTGTCTAGTTCTGGGCACCACACTTCAGGAAAGATTTGGACAAATTGGAGAAAATCCAGAGGAGAGAAACAAAAATGATTAACCGTCTAGAAAACATGACCCACGAGGAAAGACTGAAAAAATTAGGTTTGTTTAGTCTGGAGAAAAGAAGACTGAGAGGGGACATGGTAACAGTCTTCAAATATATAAAAGGTGGTTATAAAGAAGAGGTGATAATCTGTTCTTATCCACTGAGGACAGGACAAGAAGTAATGGGGTTAAATTGCAGCAATGCTGATTTAGGTTAGACATAGAAAAACTAAAATGTAAGGGTAGTTAAGCACCGGAACAAATTACCTAGGAAGGTTGTGAAGTCTCTGTCATTGGAGGTTTTTAAGAACAGGTTAGACAAATACCTTGTCACAGATGGTTTAGATAATACTTAGTCCTGCCTCAGTGCAGGGGACTGGGCTAAATGACCTATTGGGGTCCCTTCCAGTCCTACATTTTTATGATTCTCAGGGTCTGACTCTACAAGCCTTCAACATTCAGAGCCACCATTGACTTCAATGAGAATTCCATGTCCCGAGGGTTTGCAAGTGGTATTAAAAAAAAAAGAAGTGGGTTCATTTAAGCATAAACTGTGTTATTTTGAAGTTAGACATGCCTAAGTGCATACTTGCCAATATGCAACATATTTATAATGCCCATTTTGTTACATCTTTGTACTGATAGAAGATGGGCCAGTGTTTTTCAGTAGAATTGAAAGGTCTTCTTGTTTAGCTCCTCTGTGGCCTTCTTGATAGTTTTGAAATGTGAGAGATTAAAATTATGCAGTTTATCTGTGCATAAAGTCAATAACTGGCATAAGCCTTTGCCTACAAAACTTTTTAATATCCCCAGTGGTGGATCCCGCTGTGGGAATTTCTGCCTTTCCACATTCCAATAGCAAGAACTGATGTAATCATGTTTTACTCATTCTTTATTTTTGAAGAATTTCATTTCTTATGTATTTTTATTCTTGTAATGCACTTTAATGGAGCTCAGGTGCACTGCCTTTTTAACATGATTTCTGACACTTCTAAAGTTAGGGCTTATATACCATGGTGCTGATTGCAGTATGCTATAAAATACCTATTCAGAGAGTCAAGATCCTCTATAATAGGGAAGAGATTTGTTTACATTTCAGAACTGACTACTCTACGGAGCTATACATCATAATTTTCATATATAATAATTTCCATTTTACTATGCTAATATCTATAATATTTAGTAATTTGGTTACCATTTTTTGCAGTGTTTTCTCTTTTGATGAAGTAACTTCTTTTATCCTCAGGCCAGTTCTGTCTTTCCTCTAAGTACTCCGTTATGTTCAAGTAGGCTTCATCTAGGCCAATGGGCATAAAACTAGGATCATATTCAACCAGTATTTCTCTAACCTTGATAAACACACAAAGAAAGTTTAAAGTTGTGCTGCAATAGCAAAACATGTTGGTGTGTATTAAAATGCAGTTGATACTTTTGCAATAACATGCATACCTTGCACATCCATTATGATCAATCAGTACCATTACTGTAAGTATTTATGAGGCAAATAATGTATTGATATGAAAAATTTATAAAACTTCTGTTTCTCATTTAAAAGCAGCAATAAGTCAGTATTACACACCAAAACAAAGAACAGGCTCTCTGAGCAATGCTCATTTTACTGAAGAGGTAGCTGTGATATATATGTTTAAGTGGCTATATACTCTCACATCATTAGGTTCCCAGGACACTGTGGTAACCATGTGAAAAAAGTTCAAGAGGCTTGTAAGTTTATCAGAAACTTGGGATGCGTATGTGGTCTAATTCAGTTTTTCATGCTGTGCTGTGATTTGCATTGATATCTGAAGGATATAATACATTTAATTTAACATATGGAAAACTGATTGCCCAAGAGAAGAAAGCTTTAACCATAGGAAAAATAAAATGATGTAGCTGACAGCTTGAGGATATTTTAGTGTAGTTGTTGAGGACAATAGGCAATGCTTAGTGCTAGTTATATTCCTACCAATAATCACACAGCTCATTTTAGTTAATTTACATACTGCAATTCTTTTGATAAAATACAGAAAAGTTTTGTGGTTTCTTACACCTAAGAAGTTATAATTCATTGCTCTGACCACACTAACACTAACACCACTCTTACATAAGTGGTGTGTAAAAGTACTACTTTTTCAATCTGATAGTGACATTTCTTTGTATTAAAGAAATTTACTGTTTATTTAATGGATATGACCTTAAAACCCATTTATGTCTATCAGATCTTCATCTCCCCAAACCACTCACAGTGGTCATCTCTTGTTTAAATATTCTTTTGAAGATCTTATAAAATGCAAATCTTAGAATAAATCCTCAAAATAAAATTCTGATACCTATTTCTGTAGTTTTAAATGCTTCATTTTCACTATAAAATACTTGAGAATTCTTAGTAAAATTTTGTGATTTAAATCTTCAAGGACAGTCGTAGGTTCTTCCTCTTCTTGAAAGTGACTAAAACATAGCCTTCCCAACGAGTTTTGATTGCTAATGTGAAATCAGTTCGCTATTTTCAATCCAGGTCTGAGTAAAAATGGTATAAATATAATAAAAACAACCACAACAAATGAGAGGAAATGGAAATTTTCAAGAGGGGGCCAAGGCCTAAGGGCATAATCCTGCACCACTGAAGTCAATGGAAGATCTGCCATTGACTTCAGTGGATATAACATCAGGCCCTAAATGGGTCTGTACACTGATCCATACTATTACCACAAGAGTGATCCCTACACATCAGATTTCAGGCTCTGGACTGGCACTCAGGAGATCTAGATTAAATTTCTGGCTCTGCCACGGAGGCCATGGGCAAGCAATTAGTCTTGCTGAGCCTCAGTTCTTCATCTGTAAAATGGGAACAACGCTGCCTCCTTCCTCCTAATCTTTGGAATCAATGGAAGGTGCAACAATTTGTATATGGGGAAGTCTGGCCTCATTATATCAAATGCTCCCTTAATGGAATGGGCCAGGATCGGGCCAGATGGCTACAGGAGAGTGATAGAAGGCAGATATATTAGCCCCAGGTTAAATAGGTCCCTTTTCCCTGGGCAAGGTAACAGGGAAGGTTCCAGAACAATAAGGAACTTTCTAGAAACAATTAAGGCAGACAGGCTGATTAGAATACCTGCAGCCAATCAAGAAACTGCTAGAATCAATTAAGGCAGGCTAATCAGGGAACCTGGGTTTAAAAAGGAGCTCACTTCAGTTTGTGGTGCATGCGAGGAGCTAGGAGCAAGAGGCGCCAGGAGCTGAGAGTGAGAAGGCATACTACCGGAAGACTGAGAAGGACAAGCATTATCAGACATCTGGACGAAGGTCCTGTGGTGAGAATAAAGAAGGTGTTGGGCGGAGGTCATGGGGAAGTAGCCCAGGGAGTTGTAGCTGTCACGCAGCTGTTACAGGAGCCACTGTAGACAGCTGCAATCCACAGGGCCCTGGGCTGGAACCCGGAGTAGAGGGTGGGCCCGGGTTCCCCCCATCCCTCTATCCCCCCAACTCCCTACTTGATACCGGAGAAGTTGAACTGGACTGTGGGTTCCACCAGAGGGGAAGGTCTCTGGCCTGTTCCCCAATCCACCAGGTGGATCAGCAGAAACTGCGGGGATTGTTCTTCCTTTCCCCATGCTGGCCAGTGATGAGGCTAACTGCGTGAATGGCAGATTTGAGCCATGAAAGTGGCCAAACTGAGGGCTGCCGTGAACCTCTGAGGTGAGAAAATCCGCCAGTAAGCGCAGGACCCACCAAGGCAGAGGAGGAACTTTGTCATAGGAAATAATATCTGAAGTGCCAATAATAAAAGAACATAAAAATATATACAGATCTTCAACTATTTTACCCTTATCCACAAGACAAACTGTAATACAAGACTACATCCATATCCTGAGGTCCTGATTACACCATAAACAAGACCGATTCGTTCTCAAAACCACATATTTATATAATATACATTATATTCATAAAATGGAACTGAAGAACCTCAAATATAATTAACATCAGTGTTTAGTTTACCAGTAATCTTGTAAAGTGAAAAAAACACACTATTTTTTGTAGATCTTGGGTCAAATTCATCCCTGCTGTAACTCATCTGAAATTAATGGATTTACACCAACAATTAATTTGCCTCAACATCTACAGAATATATTTCATCTTTCTTCATACAAGGTTATATGTATTCTAAATACTTTTGCGGATGTTAATCCAAACTGAGCTTTTGCAACTCTCTCATATGAATCTTTAAGATTATAATCTAAACCAATTTATTTAAATCTTAAAAGAACACAAAGTATCTAAACATATACAGGTTTCAGAGTAGCAGCCGTGTTAGTCTGTATTCGCAAAAAGAAAAGGAGGACTTGTGGCACCTTAGAGACTAACAAATTTATCTGAGCATAAGCTTTCGTGATCCGATGAAGTGAGCTGTAGCTCACGAACGCTTATGCTCAAATAAATTTGTTAGTCTCTAAGGTGCCACAAGTACTCCTTTTCTTTAAACGTATACAGTTATTCATCATAATATATTAATTACATGCATGGGGTTTTTTTTCCCTTAATGGAAAGGAATGTACCATACTTTTCTAGGGACAAGAAACAGTAATCACCTTTCCTTCCTCCTTAATTGTTTCCACTTTACTCCTCAGTCCATTCATTCTCTGGAAACAAATGTAGATGTCTTTTGAGCTCATTAATGCTCTTTGATTCAAGAGTTCTCCCAGGTAATTAGTATTCCATACGGTTATTATGGTATGAAGTAATTCTCTTTGCTCTCCCTATTTACCCCTAGTTTCCTAATTATTAGATTATGTGCTATGGTTTTGAATTTACCAATATAACAACATCATCTGTTCATTACATAATTTTGAAAACCTCTATTACCTTATCTCTATATGGAACCAGATTAGGGATGAATTTGTCCCTGTTGCCACAGAATGTTAATTTTAATGCTGTATTTAATTTACATTCAAAGCCATGTCTTGAAAATTTAACCTTTAAAATTAGCTTTTTTGAATCTTATGTACAAGTTTTGATTTACTGTTGTCTTAAAATCTAAAACAAAGTATGTACAGCTATTGGTTTGAGAGATGTTCTCGTTGAGTACTTACCTCTTTACTCACTTCTTCATACTTTTTGAAGTTTAATGGCACTATAGTAAGATGTGGGCATAGTTTCTTAGCAATAAATCCAGGCATGGCTGCACGTACCCCAAATCTCCGAGCATGGTAATTTGAAGTGGACTTAGCAAGGAAAAAATAGATGTAGCGTTAAATAATCATATCCTACAGTATACTTGTGAGTTTTAATACATGCAGCAATTTTAAAGATTGAAGTAAAAAGATATAGAGACAATGCTCTCGTCACAGAACATCCATCAAACTGCAGTAACCAGTTCCATTGTAGATTCAGTATGTTATGTTTCATTGTAATTTATTCGCATTATGAGAACTACATGATTTTAGGGACTGGTAACTGGACAGTTTTCATCTCTAGTTTGCGGGTTCAGATTAAGTCAATTTGTTAATTGATAAACTTATTTAACTGAAGTGTTTTCAGTTTTTGCAGATCTGCTTAGAGAGGCACTAACCCGGCATTTGTTAGAAACGTTAGCAAAGGGCACAGTATTGAGCAGGCCATAGACACTGTTCCCATTTGCCCCCAAAAGGTGGTCTCTCTAGAAGAGGAGTGAGTCAAATTGGCTGAACAGCATGGGGAAGCTTGTATGGCTGTTGTCTATGCCATTCTTGTTCCAGGGCTAAAGGACATCAGTCTCCTGTCAATCCAGCATCTTTCACATGCCCTTTAAACTATACTTCTCTTTCTTGCTTTGGAGATTAATTCCAATATTAATAACAAAAATTGAAATTAAATGGTCATCCAAGACAATATTAATTTTAAAAGTTAATAAAATTCCACTATGCTTGATATTTTTTATTAACTGAAGGCCTCCACTTTTAGTATACTCTGAGGAGCAGTAGGGCTCACTGAAATATGGGAAAAGGACTGAGACATGACATGCTGTGAGGCTATGTGGGAGACACATATCTGGAGATTGAATTATTTCCCAGGACTAGTTCCAGAGAAAGCAATAAACAAACTAAAGAAAGGTTAAGTTACTACTGCTTCTGCTCTATTCAGAGCCTATAGGCTTAATCTTGCAAGGTACTGAGCACCCTCAACTCTATTAGACCAGAAAAAATAAAAGCGCCACCAAAAAATCTGTTAAAATGGATAATATCTCTAAAGTAATGATAATTCTACACCCTGTTCGCTTCTATAGCATACTATATACAATGGATCAAATTCTAGGATGATATATTCCCCATGCAACTCCATTGACTGAATTTGATGTAAATCAGCACAAACCTTGGCCCAATATGTGCCACTCAAATTAATCATAATCCACATCAGCATCATTTTTAGAATCAGACAAAATAAATCCATTGGTTTATAAATAAATTCTAAAGGCTTTCTTGTATGCTTTAATGTAGTTTTCTTTTCACACTTAAATCGATGGGAATCTGCTAATAATGGGGTTGCCAGGTGTCCTGTTTTCGACCGGAATGCCCGGTCGAAAAGGGACCTTAGTGGCTGTGGTCAATACTGCTGATCGGGCTGTTAAAAGTCCATTTGGTGCGGGGCTGGCAGGCTCCTTACCTGTTTCGAGCAGCTCCCTGAAGTGGCATCCTGCTCCTAGACTTAGGAGCGGCCAGGGGGGCACTGTGTGCTGTCCCCACCCTGAGCGCTGGTTCCACAGCTCCCATTGTCCAGGAACCACGGCAAATGGGAGCTGCGGGGACAGCGCCTGTGGACAGGGGGAGTGTGCTGAGATTCCTGGCCGCCCCTGTGCCTAGGAGCCAGAGGGACATGCCAGCTGCTTCCCGGGAGTTGCCGGAAGTAAACACTGCCCAGAGCCTGCACCCCAACCCCCTACCCCAGTCCTGTGCCCCCCTCCTGCACCCCAACCTCCTGCCCCAGCCCGGTGAAAATGAGCTAGTGAGCAAGGGTGGGGGAGAGCGAGGGAGGGACGGAGGTTGGATGGAGTGGGCAGGGGTTCGGAAAAAGGGCGTGACAAGGGTGTTTGGTTTTCTGCCATTAGAAAGTTGGCAACCCTAGCTAATAATGAACAGTCAAGGACAAAAAAAGACTTCAAAATGCCGGTCTCATTTTACATATTTAAAATAATTTGAATCTAAGTAGTTTAAGTTCTAAGGATCTCCCTCAATTAGTATATCTTTTCATATTTTAATCAATAACAAAATGAATAAATTTTATTCCATGTAGGAGCTATACATTAGATTGGAGCTAAACATTAGACTGGCTTCTAATTTTGCCAACCAAAGTGTGCCCCGCAGAGCTCTACAGTTAAGCCTAGGGTGGCTCTAAACATCAAAATAAAGATACAGCACAAAGAGACTACAGGCCCCAACATGCAATTCTCCACCTTGAATTGAATGACCAGGCCAAGAGTTTATATGCTTAATAGACAACTTTTTCCTTTCTGTTACCTCTTCATAACTTAAAATTTTGCAAACTACCTTGTCCTTTGAAACGTAAAATCCAAATTTACACAGTAAGAAAACAAATATTTTTGCCATCTGTGTTATTTTTGTATGCATTTCTAATGTCCCTGTCACAGCAGTATCTTGTTTCTCTGAATCTTTACGTAATTTGGTCTTTGTATCAGCTTGACATTTGACCGTACCAGCATACTCATCGATCCCACAGCTATGGGTTTTTCCTTCAGCTCTGGATTGTCTCTCATTTCTACTGCTGCATAAAAGGCATCCATGTCAATGTGTACAATAGTGCAGCTGAGATCACGGCTCTGCTCTAGCTCCAGCACAAGTTTGTCAGCCTGTACAAAAGTGTATAAAACGTACACAAACACAGAAATTACAGAAATATATTAGTCTGGCCAAGGTGCCACAGTCCAAACAATCCTAAAAGAAAACCCTTGTCACATAGTAAAAAGGAGAAAAAATAGTTACTCACTTTTGAGTACTCACTGTTCTTCGAGATGTGTTGCTCATATCCATTCCAGTTAGGTGTGCGCGCACCACGTGCACAGTCATCGGAAAGATTTCCCTTGGCGGAACCCGTCGGGTTGGCTGTGGAGCCCCCTGGAGTGGTGCCTCTATGGCGCTCAATATATGACCCTGCTGACCTGGCGCCTCCTCAGTTCCTTCTTGCCAGTTACTTTGACAGAGGGGAAGGCGAATGGGTCTGGAATGCACATGAGCAACGCATCTCTAAGAACAATAGTTGCGAGAACGTGAGTAACCATTTTTCCTTCTTCGAGTGCTTGCTCATATTGATTCCAGTTAGGTGTCTCCAACCCCTACCTTGGAGGTGGGGTCAGAGTTATGGAATGACAGACTGGAGCACTGCTCTACCAAAGGCTGCATCATCTCTACCATGCTGGGTTATAGTGTAGTGAATGGCAAATGTATGCACCGATGACCATGTCGCCGCCTTGCAGATTTCTTGGATTGGCACCTGGGCCAGGAACGCTGTTGATGAGGCCTGTGCCCTCGTGGAATGGGCCGTGAGAGCCCGGGCTCGAAAGTTGCCCAATTCGTAGAAATTGCAGATACGGGAGGTAATTCACAATGAGATCCTCTGCAACGAGGCCAGGAGACCTTTCATGTGATCTGCTACCACCACGAATAATTAGTTCGACTTCCGGAATGGCCTTGCATGGTTGATATAAAAGGCAAGCGCCCATCGAATGTCCAGAGAGTGGAGGCATTGCTTTTGGTTATTCGCATGGGGTTTAGGGTAAAACATAGGCATGAAAATGTCCTGGTTAGAGTGAAATTGGGACACCACCTTTGGAAGGAAAGCCAGATGAGGCCTGAGCTGCACCTTATCCTTAAAGAAAACCATGTATGGAGGATCAGAGGTGAGGGCCTTGAGCTCCGAAACCCTCCTTGCTGAAGTAATGGCAACCAGAAAAACAACCTTCCATGGTAGATACAGAAGTGAGCAAGTTGCCAACGGTTCAAATGGTGGTCCCACTAGTTGAGGTCCCATGCAGGGATCAGTTGGCTAGAGGTGCTCCAGGCCCTAGAGGAAGTGGCCTACCATGGGGTTGGCAAAGATGGAGCGCCCAGCCATTCTCAGGTGGAATGCAGAGATAGCTGCCAGGTGCACCTTGATGGACGAAGCAGCCAGACCTTGCTGCTTGAGCTTCAGCAGGTCCAGGAGGACAGGAATGGGGGCCTGCAATAGTGGAGAATGGCCCTGGGAGCACCAGATCGCAAACCGTTTCTATTTTGCCTGATAGGTGGCCCAACTGGAGGGTTTCCTGCTATCGAGCAGAATTTCCCTGACCACCTCTGAGCACAGGAGCTCCATGGAATTTAGCCATGAAGCTTCCAGGCCGTGAGGTGGAGAGACTGGAGGTCTGGGTGACGAAGGCGACCATGATCTTGGGTAATCAGGTACGGGATCAGTGGCAGCGTGATTGGAGTGTCTACCAAGAGGTCCAGGAGCGTGGTGTATCAGTGTTGTCATGGCCACGCTGGAACCACCAGGATGACTGCCACCTTGTCCCTGCGGACTTTGAATAGGATCTTGTGCACGAGAGGAAGCGGTGGGAACACATACATGAGATGATCCGACCATGGAGGAGGAAGGTGTCCGCAAGGGAGCCCTGACTGTGGTTCCAGAAGGAGCAGAACCTTGGGCACTTCCTGTTGCTCCAAATGGTGAAGAGACTGATACGGGGAGTTCCCCACCTCTGGAAGATGGTAAGAATGACATCCGGCCAGATAGACCACTTGAGGTTGTGGAACGATCTGCTGAGGTAGTCCACCAGCTCGTTCTGTGATCTTGGGAGATATGTCGCCTCCAGGTGGATAGAGTGGGCTATGCAGAACTCCCACAGCTGGAGGGCTTCCTGACAGAGGGGAGAGAAACGGGCCCCACCCTGCTTGTTTATGTAAAATGCTGCAGTTGTGTTGTCCGTCATGACTCTCACACATTGACACATCAAGCGAGCCTGGAAGGTGTGGCACACTAGCCGAACCGCTCTCAACTACTTGATGTTGATGTGGAGTGAGAGCTCATCTTGAGACCAGAGTCCCTGAGTCTGAAGGTCCCCCAGGTGTGCATCCCACCCCAGTGCCAACGCATCCGTTACCGGGGACAGGGAGGGCTGAGGTCTGTGGAAGGGGACTCCCTTGCACACATCTGGTTGATTGAGCCACCAGCCCAGGGACTGGAGGAAGTGACGTGGAAGAGTAACCACCGAGTCCAGACTGTCATGTCCTGGGCAAAACTATGATACGAGCCAAATCTAGAGAGATCTGAGATGCATCCTGGTATGCTGTACCATGTACGTACAAGATGCCATGTGACCAAGTAGCCTCAGGCAGGCCCTTGCTGTGGTGGTAGGGTACCGTCTGAGACATTGTATGAAGTCCGAGATAGTCAGAAAACGGGCCTCTGGCAGGAATGCTCTGGCATGACCTGAGTCCAGTACTGCCCCGATAAACTCTACACTTTGAGTGGGTATCAGGGTCGACTTGCTCTCGTTGAGAAGAAGGCCCAACCTGTTGAACGTGGACCTCATGATGCGTATCTGCTCTTCTACCTGGTCCCTGGAGTGCCCCGGGAGCAGCCAGTCATCAAGGTATGGATATACCTGCACCTGTCTCTGCCGAAGAAAGGCGGCAATGACCAACATGCACTTGGTGAACACCTGAGGGGCTGTGGACAGGCTGAAGGTGAGAACCTTAAACTGGAAGTGGTTGTGATTGAGGTATCATCTGTGAGCAGGACATATGGATATATAAAAATACACGTCCTTGACACTGAGGGCGGCGTACCAATCTCCCGGATCCAGAGAAGGAATTATGGAGTTCAGGGAGACTATGCAGACTTCAGCTTCACCATGAATCTGTTGAGGCCCCGCAGGTCCAGAATGGGTCTGAGACCCTCTTTGGCTTTGGGGATTAGGAAATATTGGGAATAGAATCCCTTGCCCCTTAGCTCCTGAGGAACCTCCTCCACTGCCACTGTGGTAGCCCTGAAGTAGAAGTCCCCACCACCACCTTCTCTGGAGAGGACAACGAGGATGCAAGCAGGGGAAAAAGGACTATCCTGGACCTCTTAGTCCATTGGGATCTCCTGCCCAGCTTCCTGTTCCGGGTCAGCTATCACCGGGTCCACTGACAGAGCAGGGGTTGGTTCCGGGGGAAGCACTGAGGCCAGAGTCCCGTCAGCACCCCACGGGGCAGAGTGGCTGTCTGAAGCCGCTGGCAACCTGGGTTCGGATAGCACCGACCAGGAGCCCTTGGACAAAGTACCCTGGGCCTGGTGATATGCCCAGGGGGTCCAAAAGGGCAACTGTGCGGGTCCCTGCCATTGCACCAGTCATGGCATTGTGCCCACATCGGGACGTCTATGTGCCAACCGGTGCAGGCTCTGGCGTGAGTATCTGGATTCTGTCTCCAAGCCCAAAGATGAGGACCAGGATCTTGATGGCCATGGTGGTGCCAAGCAGAGCTGGGCCAGTGAGCAGTGCCGCGAGGATGGGGAAGAGTGCCCAGATCAGGATCGATGCCGGGATCGGGAGCAGTGCAATGACGACAACTGGTGCCGAGACCTCGATTGCTGCCGTGGTGACTGGTGCCGAAAACAGGACTTCCCTCACATCGGGGATTGGTGCCAGGATAGTGATTGGTGCAGCAAGTCAGACTGGTGTCGCGAGTCCAACCGGTGCTGCAAGTCAGAGCAGTGCCAAGAGATGGATTGGTGCTGCGACTCAGAGCAGTGTCTCTGTGTTGTCGGTGAGCGGTGCTTTGGAGATGCAGGCAGACACAACATTGCCGGCTAGCCCTGTGACAGTGCTGCCTTCGTTGGCGCTAGGGGCTTGTCCCGGAGGGCTGGAGACTGCAGTGCGATCATGGCAAAGGTGTCTGGGGTGGATGGCAGCCCCACTTCTTCCAGCATATGGCTTGGGGAGTCCAATGGCACTGAACTCAACGATTCCCTTTGCGGGGCCTAAGTCAATGGTGCTGACTCCAAAGGTTCTGGCACCAGGTGCGCCTCCCTGAGGCGCGCCCCATTGGCCAACTCTGAAGGAGTGGGTCTCAAAGACTAAGATCCACTCCTACTCTGCTTCCGGTGCTGCTCCTGTGGGGCCAGGGACTGGGATCGGTGCCGGACAGTTCCCATCGGCTTTGGCAGCGGGGAGCAGCAGTGACGCAGGTCTCTATGCTCCAAGTCCTTCTGCGGTGTCGCATCTGCCACGGATGCTGGAGTGCTCCGCACCGTTGAACTTGGTGTCAGGTCTTGCCACGCTGAGGTGGATTGCGGTCTCAGAACTGCCTCCATAAGGAACTGTTTTAAACGGAAGTCCCACTCCTTTTTTGTTCTCGGGCAAAACCCTTTACAAATCCTGCACCTATTGGCCTGGTGCGCCTCCCCCAGACACTTTAGACAAACGTTGTGGGGGTCACCTGTCGGCATGGGCTTATTGCAGGACTTGCAAGGGGAGATAGGCAGTCGGGATGGAGGGGAAACCCACACAACCAACAGCTAAAAATACTAACACTAAAACTACAACAAACTGAAAGCTAGGAGAACTTTCTAAGCAAATCACCATAGTTCCAAGAACCATCACTGGTGGTAAGAACGAACTGAGGAGGCGCCAGGTTGGCAGGGTCATATTATGAGCGCCATAGAGGTGCCACTCCAGGGGGCACCACAGCCGACCCAACAGGTGCTGCTAGGGTAAAACTTTCTGACGACTGTGGTCGTGGCGCGCACACACCTAATTGGAATCTATATGAGCAAGCACTAGATGAAGAAAGCTTGTTTTTGCTGCAACCTGTTCTGTGGGGAAAGGAGGTAGCTAACAGATGGAAAGTGAAAAAGTCTGTCATATTTATACATATAAATGCAAGTACGTATAATATTCCACAAATATACAAGTTGTATTTATTGTTTACAGAACTACTTTTTAAAAAAACCTAAAGGTTTCTCCCCTCTCACTTAATTGTGCTCTCATGCTGCAACTTATTTGCTAAAAGGATCACTACTGAGTAATATGAGATTCCCCCCTTCCTTCTGGTTTGCGCTGAGCCATTTTGTTTGAACACTGAAAGACCACAATGCGGAATCAAATTAAGCTCTTCCACATAGCAATACCCAGCACATATCCTAGTTCAGTGCGTTGGGCTGGTCAAACTGGTTTGTATAAAATGTAAGGCACCAGTGGGAAGGGTAGAAGGTGAGGAATTCAAATAACAACAGAAGAAATATTTGAAAAAATAATGAAAAGAGCATGATACAATATATAGAAGAAAAACAAGTAATTACATTTAAATCCTCCAGGACTCAGCTATTTTCATTGTAATATCAATTAAGCAAGGGCTAATATCCATGTAAAATTATCAAAAGGCATTTCTCTACATTTTAATTAATTTTTTTCTCCTTTGTTAGTTCTGATCTCATATTCTACGAACTATAGTAGGTTATTCTCAAACTCAAATGATCTTTAATTACTTGAATTTATATTGCCTCCCATACCCTCAGTCACACAATTTAATCTGTATTTCCAGATATTGTCTTTATACAAAACTTTTGTTTTTCCCCAAACTGCATTACTAGCATAATCTCATATCTAATGATTCACTAGTATCTTATGCACATATAAAAATAGAGATGGAAACCCCTTTAAGCTAGTCACGAATTAAAATGATGATTATTTAAAATAGCAACAGCAGCTCATTAAAGGAAACAGTAAAACAAAAGCTTTGTAGATGTATTTCTGAGAACCATGTTTGTCTGTAACCAGATGTCCCTACTAAAACTGAAGACAGTTAAAGACTAGTTTCTCAGAGGTAAACCAGGTGCATAAGTTTAAAAATTATGTAGCATTCTTTTTTGAAAGAAAATTCTGATATGGAAGATTTAGGGGGTTTTCTATATATTTTATAGGGGAAAAGTGCTGAAAATATGGGCCATTAGTCTTTTAAAATTCTTACATTTTTATATTTATTTTTAGACAAATTGATTGAAGAAGTTATTGTGATTTGTTCTTGCCCAAAGATGTGATATAGACGCCGAAAAACTTTCTTAAGTAACATATATGAAATAAGAATTAAAGAACTTAATTTGGTGCCTATTTATGTTTGCAAAACTATCTGACAGAATGGAGAGAAACTAGGAGGGACTACTAATACCCTGTTACAAAGGGACAGCAATGTCATGCAGAGTTAAAAACTAAGCTAGAAACCAGCATCCATAAAAATGGCACCAATGGCTGTTGGCAATAGTGAATACAATTCAGAAGCTGGATACTTCTGAAAGTTTTAAATTAATCATAGTATTGAATAAATGAATATAAAAATATAGCTTTTATCCTTCACATTATGGATTATTGGAGAACTTCAGACACTTCTGAGTTGTGTAGTAGACGAGTCTCAACCAGCCATGAACAATTTATCCGAAGTGGGAACTTACTGCATATAGTATTGTATAGGAAAACTTGGCCCGACTAATAAACGATTTTATTTTATTTATAAAGCCAAATAAAATATTTTAAAATGCTAAAGGTAAGTTTTGAGGGGTTTACTTACTGCCCAAGAGTACTGAAGATGTTAGAGATTACTTTGGGACATTTGTGGTGATAAGTGCTCCTTTGCCCCTAGCTGGCTGCAGAGAAGGCTGTCTAAAATAAAGAAAAACAAACAGACAAAGAGTCCCACAGCAGGTGCAGGGTCTATTATATCAACAAAACACTAGAAAAAGGAGTATTATGTTGCAGACGCTATGGATTTATGTTGCTGCCATGTCCAGCATCACTGGGATACTGTCTAGCAAAAGGAATGGCTTTTTAGAAATCTTGTATATTACAGTATCAGCACTGAAAAGAACTGTCATGTTAGTGAGCACCCTAAAAGGGCCCAGTTTCCATCCCTCTACCATCCTATAAACTGATAAGACTTGAGCTGAAGATAAGAATTTACAGTGTTACACAGAAGCATGGAGCTTTTCATACTTCTGTAACTCTGCACAAGTTGTCTCCCCCTTACCAAGCTGAGGCAAATACTAGAGCAGGGCTTCTCACACTTCATTGCACCGCAATCCCCTTCTGACAACAAAAGTTACTGCATGACTCCAGGAACGGGGACTGAAGCCTGAGCCCTGTCACCCTGGACAGCAGGGCTGAAGCCCAACCCACATCGCCCTGTGGGGGAGGGGCAAAGCTTGAGGGCTTCAGCCCTGAGCAAGGGGACTGTAACCTAAACCCTGCCACCGAGGGCTGAAGCAGAAGCCTGAGCCCCACCGCCCAGGGCTGAATCCTTCTGGCTTCAACGTCCACCCTGGGTAGTGGGGCTTGGACTTTGGCTTCAGCCCCAGGCCCCAGCAAGTCTTATGCCAACCCTGGCGAATCCATTAAAACAAGGTCCCGACCCACTTTGGGGTCCCGACCCACAGTTTGAGAACTGCTGGACTAGAGCATCTGGTTACAGATCATAAGGAAGTGATATCAGAAAGTAAAAGAAAACATGGTTTCATGGGTAATACAGTTGAATGTTGCCTTGGAGAACTGCCTCTTTCAGAGAGTTCCTATGTGATGATAGGCAAGTCATTATCAAAAAAAAAAAAAGCTTTTCACAGGTGGTCACTAATTGCTTGTTCCTCATTTTCTGAGTACCCAACTTGATACCCTGTGGTCTGGTCTGCAGAAGTGTTGAGCACTCACATCTGCAAATGAAGTCACTGGGAGCTGCGTGTTAAACATATACAGTATGATATAATTCCAAGTACTCTGAAAAATCAAGTCCTAGGCATTCAGTGGTCAAATTGGGAACCCAAAATTAGTGGACTCTTTAACCTTAATTTCTCTGTGCCTTCATTTCCCACATGTAAAATGGGGATAATAATATGACCTGGGTGTTGTGAAAATAAATTCATCAATGTTTGTGAAGCACTCACATACTATAGTGATGAGCACCACAGAAAAAAATATGAGGAAATTAGTAATTCTGTATCCAGATCAGAGTTAGACTAGCATATGGTAAACAAGACATGGGGCCACATATTGAACAATGAAGATAAAACAAAATGTTGAACAGCTGCTCATTCAGTGAACACCGTCTATCCTGTGCACAGAATGAGGCAGGGATCACATTGAAAAAAGTAGTATGCAATCACGTAATTAAAGATTGAATTATACTGCATGTAAACAAAGAGACAAATTAAGGTGCTTGACTTAGCAACTTCAATGTTCTTTTGATGTGATTTTTGTATGCAATACTGTCTAGGGCCTGATAACATTGTCCAACACTACAGTATCTGAATACCTATGCAAAAGTGCTTCTTTTGGACCACAGAAACATTTCTTATATCCATAGTTTTCTCAGACTCTTTATTTTCTTCCACTGTATATGGATGTTCATAACCAAGGCCCTAATAAAGGAAACCAATTTTCTATTGTAGGCAATATGCACCTTTGGCCAGATTTTATATATATAAAACTTTGAAAACTTCAATGACACAATCATAGTAGTTAGCACGCAAAGATAGATAAATCACCAGCTGAAGTAATACGATAATCCTAGTGACATTTCTCCCTATCACTATAAACCATCTAACATAATACATGCATAAGCCAGGACTTTTTTTAAAAAATACACACAAAATGTTTAAGCCAAAATGACTACTCTGGTATTTGTTAAGAAAATTAATCAGTGAGTTTCATAGGAGTACATCATGAGCAATGGATTTTATTTATTAGTTGATTTGGTGTTTTCAGCACTGGGGGAAAGGAGTTCTTGTTTTAATTCCATTTTGTTCATACAAGAAATACTTCAAATAAAGAGTCTTATTATCTATTTAAATTTTCTTCTAACTAAATATAAATTTACACCATCAAAACATTATGCAGGGTTTAGTTGCACAATTGTTGCTAACATCAAATGGAACCAGGCAACTAACAACTTGTGCACTACCATGAAATTTTAGGACAGGCATCAATAATATACTCCTAAAAATTGTTATTCTCTCTCCTCTCAAAAAACTTCCCAAATTGGTTAGTACCTGTAGTTGTGCTTTCAGAAGCTGTTGGCTGGTAATTTTATCTTTTAGCTGCATCATTTTTTCAATTCGTTGGTTGACTTGTTGATCTTTCTTAAGCTCATTTTCATAAAATCTAGAACCCTATAAGAAAAATAAAAAGTTAAGATATATCTGAAAGTTCATTGTTTTCCTTATAATCTTACAATAACTGAACTACAGAAGAAGATGCAACTTGTCTGCTAACAACTCATTTAAATGGAAAAAACCAGCACTGAAATAAAATGGACAGTTGTTTCCAATCCTATCAGAGAAGCAGATACAGCCTTATGATATGCTGGGCTCTGTATATTTTAAGGATTTCTTACGCGTATTATATATATTTTGGATATTCATATAATTGAGGTATACACACAAAAGACAACTGTGGTACTCAGATTACATGAAGTTCATATTCTTCCTTCCCTCTGCCACTCAGAGTTTAATATACTTTTGAGGAAACCTGCATGGCACCAGCAAGGCGGGAACATGTCCTGATGTGATGATGATGCAATTCTAAAAACATTAGCTAGATCAGAGAGATGCCAAAATAACTCAAAAGAAATAAGTTACTTGTACTCTCTAGGCTATTTTCTGTTATATCTTGAAAGATATTGAATGCAAAAATTGAAAATTGACCTCAGGCATTTTTACTTTTCATGTGCAGCATTTCCTCATTGGTCCATATGGTCTCATCTGGAGAAAAATAATGCCATTGTGTAAGTCAATGGTACAACCTCATCTGGAATACTGCGCACAGTACTTGTCACCCAATCTCAGAAGGATATTGCAGAATTAGAAAGAGTTTAAAAGAGGGTGATGAGAATGTTCAGGGGTATGCAAAATCTCCATATGAAGAGAGATGGAAAAGACTGAGATTATTTGGAAAGGAAATGAATAAGAGGGGATATGATGAAGGTATAGAAAATAATAAATGAAATAGAGAAGGTAGATCAGGAACTTCTTTTCTCCCTGTCTCATAACACAGGAACAAGAGGGGATATTCAGTGAAAATAAAAGGGAGCAGAATCAAAACATATTAAATACTTTTTCACAGAATGTGTAGTTAGAGTACAACACTCGTTGCCACAGGATGCCATTGAGGCCAAGAATTTAATAAGATTCAGAGAGGAATGTAATCCAGTTTTATAACAGTTAATGCTAAAAAAAAGTATTGGAAGAGATATAAAACCTCATTCTTCAAAGTTTAAACCAATCTCTAACTAGCATATAGTAGGATGAACTTTCCTTCAGTATCAGGCATGCATGTAATCTTCTCTTCCCGCGATAAGTGAACATTAGGGATTGTGCTTACTGGAAAGAAAGTCCCATACTTTTTCTCATTGGTGCTAGTAGTAAATTTTTTACAGGTATTTAAGAGGTTGGTAAATGCTGTCAAGGAACTATGAAATTTGGGTTCCCTATATCTGTCTTGTAGCTCCTCACAGTAGTGATGCAATAAGATTGTGTTCCTTACAAGGGCTTTTTTGTTTGTTTTCTGGAGCGGCTGAAAAGGAAGAGAGATTTGGGAGAGTTCCATACAAGAATCTACAACTATAATACACCTGATACTTTACAGTTTGTTGATTTTTTCCCCCCAACAAATGTAGATTTTTAAAAGGGCATGAGACTTGTTCTCCTCATTTTATCTATTATTCACTTGGCTCCATCTCTCTCTCAACATAACGGCAGCAGCCGTAGCAGTTTTGCAGGAATTATTTCAACAAATACCAAATGGGATGTGTCTTACAAAGGATTATGGTTTGAGGAACTGCTGAACAGTAAGATCAGATGAAATATATGAAAAACTAAACCCTTTGTTTCATGCAAATATCCTTAGCACGGTGAAAAAATGGACAATACAAAAGCAGTCTGCAATAGCAGAATTGTTTTTTAATGCTATATTTTTCAAAGTTCTCCCTAAAGTATTAGCTCTTCCATAAAGCAACAGTACAACATTCATTATTTTACCATAATTGTTTAACAAAAAATCTAGGGCCAGATTGACCCCCCCCTTGTAATAGAATGCTGTGGGCGGGGAGGGGGGGTCACTCTGAGAGGTTACCCTTGCTCGGTTATCCCTAGATTGTCTGATGGGAGGACTCTGAAAACCTCATAGATTTGGGGCCTCTTCCCAAGTTCCAAAGGAGAGGTGCTGACAGGTACTGCACCACTGGCTGCTTTCGCTTCGAACACACCCTAAAAAGGACGTGTAGTCAGCCCTGAGGAGTTCTACTGAAAAAGTTTATACAACCGCAAACCATATTAACTTTTCCAGCAGATTCCCCAATGGTTGTGGGGAGGGTGATGAAAAGCAACCTTTCCTGTGTCACCCACATACAGAACAGAGGAGGCTGCCCCATTTATGCATGCAAAACTAAGAAATAAAAAAGTAAAAACCGAAGCATTAGTGAAAAAGGTTACACAAACGAACCTTGGTGGCCTCCATTATGATTTTATTGATTTTCTCTTTATCCAGTCCTTGCATTCCAGCCTTGTTATCATTGAGGCCCACTCTAAGCAGAAATCCACCATCATCAGAAGTGTTAACAACTTTCTTTGTGCTGTCCATAGCGCAACGCAGTGAGTGCTTTTTCAAACTTTAATAACCTAAAAGAGAATATAAGTTACATACGTCTTTCAAAACTCCAGTTGATGAATAATACAATTCCACAATCACTTTCAATTTTATTAGACACACCAAATACTGTGGTTTAATATGGAATTCTTCAAAGTAGCTCAACTACACACAGTCACCAAACAAAGAATAAACCTCAACTGTGTTAGTGTCTGAAGTACAGCTGCATGGGAAATGATTTATCATCCTGTGAAAATGTTCAAGATTCAGTAATTTTCCTCATTCTACATTGGGGCGAAAGAACATCAGAGAGAGACAGGAACATGAGCCTGGGGCTTCCACATCCCAGGTGAGTGCTCTAACCACTTGGCTATTAGCTACTCTGAGTGATTCCTCTTTATCTTGTTTTGACCAGAAATTCCATCCTGGACTTGAGAAACCTTCACATCAAAAATTTTGTCTAAACTGATACATTCCCACAAAAAGTTTAGTTTCCAATGAACTGGCATTTTCCAACCAAAAAACCTGTTTGAAAAATTTCCGACTAGCTTTATATCTGGTTCACTTGGTAACTTGGGCTCAAGCAAATGATAAGCATTTTAATATGGCCAAATGTCAAGTTACACGTCACGGTACAAAGAACATAGGCCATTCTTGCAGAAAGGAGGACTCAATTCTGGGAAACTCTGATTCTGAAAAAGACTTGGGGGTCATGGTGGACAAATATGAGTTTCCTGAACAATACTGTAGCCAAATGGGCCAATGCAACTCTTGAATGCATAAACAGGGGAATTTCAAGTAGGATTAGAGGGGTTATTTTACCTCTGTATTTGGCCAGGTGTGACCGCCACTAGCATACTGTGTACAGTTCTACTATCCACAGTTCAAAAAGGATGTTAATAAAATGGAGAGGAAGTTCAGAGAAGAGCCATGATAAATGATTAAAGGATTGGAAAACATACCTTACAGTGATAGATTAAAGGAACTCAATCTAGTTTAACAAAGAGAAGGTTAAGGGGGGACTTGATCACAGTGTTTAAGAACCTATAAGGGGAATAAAATGGGTTCTTCAATCAAGCAGACAAAGATATAACAAGATGCAATGGCTGGAAGTTGACGCAAGACAAATTCAGACTGGAAATAAGGTGAACATTTCTTGACAGTGAGGGTAATTAACCATTGGAACAACTTCCTAAGGGTTGTGGTGGACTGTTCATCACTAGCCATTTTTAAACCAAATTTGGTTATTTTTCTAAAAGATATGTTGTCACTCAAACAGGAATTAATTCAGGGAAGCCCCATAGGGTTACCAACTTTCTAATTGCACAAAACCGAACACCCTTGCCCCGCCCTCTTCCCGGAGGCCCTGCCCCCATTCATTCCACTCCCCCTCCCTCCATTGCTTGCTCTCCTCCACCCTCAGTCACTTCCACTGGTGGGGCACGGGGTCGGTGTGCGGGAGGGCGTGAGGGTTCTGACTGGGGGTGCTGGCTCCGGAGTGGGGCCAGAAATGAGGGGTTCAGGGTGTGGGAGGGTCTCCAGACTGGGACAGGAGGTCGGGGTGCGAGACGGGGTGAGGGCTCCGACTGGGGGTGTGGGCTCTGGGGTGCGGCAGGGGGTCAGAGTGTTGGAGGAGGTTCAGGATGCAGGCTCCAGCCGGGTGGTGCTTACTTCCAGCAGCTCCTGGAAGCTGCCAGCATGTCCGGTTCTAGGCGGAGGGGCCAGAGGACTCTGCGCACTGCCCACACCTGCAAGCGCCACCTGTGCAGCTCCCATTGGCCGCGGTTTCTCGTCAATAGGCGCTGCAAAGCCAATGTTCAGGGTGGGGGCAGTGCGCGGAAACCCTGTCGCTGCCCCTGCACTAGGAGCCGGACATGCAAGACACTTCTGGGAGCCACGTGGAGCCAGACTTAGCCCTGCTGCGCCACCAGACGGACTTTTAGCAGTTGAAATCCAGATGCCTGGCAACCCTAAAGCCCCATAGTCTGTTTGATACAGGAGGTCTGACTAAACAATCACAATAGTCCTTTCTGAGAGGTTTTGTTTACAAAATAAATAAATAAATAACACTGCCAATTTGAAGTAAAAAACATTCCTATGTGCAAAGCTTACTGCATTAAACTTACAGCTGTACAGAGGCTCTTTTTGTGACAGGCTATCTTTCCAGACTCATTGTAAAAATAAAATCAAACTGGCACTGCCCACCAGCATGTTAAATTTATTTTTTAAATGTAAATTAATAGATTTTAAGGCCAGAAGGGACAGTTATGATCATCTAGAGACCTGACTTCCTGCATGACACAGGCCACAAAACCTAAACTAGTAATTTCTACATCAAACCATAACTTCTGTTTGAGCTAGAGCATATCTTTTAGAAAGACATCCAGTCTTGATATAAAGACTTGAAGTGATGGAGAACCTACCATGTCCCTAGGAAAGTTATTCTATTTGTTCATTATCCTCATTGTTAATTTTTTTTTTCTTGTTTGAATTTGTCTAGCTTCAGCATCTAACCATTGGATCTCATTATGCTTATTTCTGCTAGTATTAAACAGCCATCTACTATCACTTGTTTCTTATCCATGTAGGTATTTGCAGATCATAAGCAAGTCACCCATAACCTTTACTTGGATACAGTAAGTTGATTGAGCCTCTTAAATCTCTCACTCTCAGCATGTTTTCCAGACCTCATGTCATTCTTCAATAAAATGTAAATGAAATGCTGCCCAAGCAACTGTCACATGACAAAATCTCCTTTTCAGTGGGTTAGCACAAAAAAAGCAGAGTTCTCAGAATGACAACTCAGCATGAGCTCAATAAATTAGAGAACATGTATTTATTATCGGAAGAGGGTATAAAGGCAGCTCCCTCCTACTGCTGATTAAAAAAACAATTTCATCTTCTCTCCCAGGCAAGGAGCACCCATCTCCTTAACTTCCTCTCAGTTACTTCCGCAGTCAAGGGTCCTTTCTGTCTGATAGGAGCCACACCCCTTCAAGAGCTGTCTCTCAATGTGCTGCACACCCAGACCCAGTTACCACAGTAACTCTATTGCACAACAATGGTGTGACATTGCACTCTATATGATTTTATAAAAATATGCTAATGAGTGTGAATATAATGTAACTGGAATATGCTTCATGCAAAAGGTCTCTTGTAAGGTATCATTACAAAGCTTATGATCTACTGAGCATGGTCATCCTATTTGTATAACTGTATCACTCTTGTACCTTAAACTAGAAATATGAAATATAACTCTGAGGTCCTATTGTAGTTATGCAAAGTGTGGGCCATTAATGGTAGTTTGGAATCTTAATGGCTCCCATTAACCAGGACAATTGACTGTAGATGGCTCTGTTTTAGTTGTAAGTCTTCCTGTATACCTGTGGGCTGGCAAATGGGTAATGAAGTCTTACAGTGACATGTGATGTCACCTGAACTGGAATCCATCTTTAACCTGGTGCTTTTCCATTGAGAAGGAGGGGTGGGAACCCAGAGGGACAAAGGATTCCCACCTTATGCAAAAGATATATAAGTGGCTGGCACAGAACAAATGAGGCGGTGGCCATCATGAGAAATCCCCTAGCTACCACTTGAGCTGGAACAAGGGCTGTACCAGGGGAAAGGATTGTGCCCAGACTAGGAAGGCGTCCAGTCTGTGAAAGAAACTTATTGAAACATCTCTGAGGGTGAGATTTTATCTGTATTCAGTTTTATTACTGTACTAGACTTAGACTTGTGTGTTTTGTTTTATTTTGCTTGGTAATTCACTTTGTTCTGTCAGTTACTACTTGAAACCACTTAAATCCTGCTTTCTGTATTTAATAAAATCACTTTTTACTTATTAATTAACCCAGAGTACGTATTAGTACCTGGAAGGGGGTGGGAGGCTGGCAAACAGCTGCGCATATCTCTCTATCAGTGTTCTAGAGGGTGAACAATTTACGAGTTTACCCTGTATAAGCTTTATACAGGGTAAAACAGATTTATTTGGGGTTTGGACCCCATTGGAAGTTGGGCATCTGAGTGTTAAAGACAGGAACACTTCTTAAGTTGCTTTCAGTTAAGTCTGCAGCTTTGGGGCACGTGGTTCAAACCCTGGGTCTGTGTTGGAGCAGACTGGCGTGTCTGGCTCAGCAAGACAGGGTGCTGGAATATCAAGCTGGCAGGGAAAGCAGGGGCAGAAGTAGTCTTGGCACATCAGTTGGCACCCCCAAAGGGGGTTTCTGCAATCCAACCCATCACAAATGGATATAAAACTGTGCTGGAACATTGCAAGCAAGACGCATGTTTAAAAACTGTTGCTTCTCCAGCTGAGGGGTTAGGAAAGAATAAGCATGATCCCCTACCAAAGATATGGAGGCAGCCCACATTTGTGTTTAGGCATTTACGGTTGAATTTTCCACCTGAAATGATCACATATGGTTCATGGAGGAAAAGGATTCCTCTATATGTTAATTACTCAGAAGACTGACCCAAAAGCATCACTAATTAATTAATTTTTAATCTTGTGTTTTTTAACTCATTCTTAGGATTTTTAAGCTCTTGACAGTATGGCATTCTGTTCACATTTAGACGGTTATGTTCCCAATTGTATTAGAAATGAAAGCTGAAAGTTTCTGCAGAAACTTATGAGTAACCCTAATCAAGGAACTTCTTTATTCATTGTGAGTGAATGGATTTATCAAATCTTCAAGCAAATGCATTTGTTTCCCTTATTTTCTATAATGACGGAGGTGTTCGTTTTTGCTTAAATTTTTTCCCTTGGAACAGGAGACCAACTGCATTCCTGTAGTAGAGCAAGTTATATTTTTAAAATATAAAAGTTCTATCTGATTAAAAAAATCTTAAGTTTTAATTATATTCAGTGCATTGGGTTTATTATTTGTGACATTTTTTCAGAAGAGCCAAGACCAGCTGAGTAATAATCTGTGTGTTTTTTGGCTCTTGCCTGTCAGAACACAGAACAGGAGTTACCGAGACAAAGCAGACATCAGACTAACACCTTGGGTGCTCTGAGGCCAGCAGGAAG